GCAGGCGAGGATTATTTTCGAGAACGGTACAACGAATCCTCTTCTTTCTCTAATGATTTAATGAAACGTAAAAGCTTCCGCGCTTTGCGCGGAGGGAGGGGAACTGTATTCAGACGAGCAGGCACGTACGCAGGGGGGGGGGGGGTTGGAACGTTAACCCCCCCCCCCTTCGGTTTTTTTTATGTCTGTATTTTGGAGCAAACCCCCCTCCCCTTTTTCTTTTTTTTAAATGAAACACACACACAAAAAATAATTATGCCAATGGCTGATCTAAAAAAGGTGACCTCACCCCCCCCCCCCACCCCAAAGGGAACAAAATGTCAAATTTTCAAATTTCGAGACCAAAAAACAAAAAAAGTGTCCTCTTCCCCCCCCCCCCCCCCCCCCCCCCCCTAAGGAAGAAATCTTGGATCCGCCCCTGGGTGCACATATCCCTCCCCCCCCCCCCCCACCTTGAAAACAACGGCGTGAGGTGATTTTACGCGCACTTTCCACGTTGGCCTTAGTGCCCCTTAGGATAGATTTGTGTCCCTTTCAGTGGATTTGTGCCCTCTCAAAAAAAGTGGCCTTGACCCAAATTTGATGTAATTCGAGGCCTGATGTTGTGAGTAGAATTTAGTTATCTCTTCATGGTGGGGTTTGCTAACTTGTATGTGTAATGTGATAAGTCAGAACATATTTGTTGAGTGTAATGAAAGCACTATTGTACATACTAGACTGTCTTTGATTGATATTTTGTTAATCTGCAATCGTTGGCTGAGGAAAAACCCACTAAAGTTAGGGTCCCATTTTATAAATGATTTTGATGAAAAGCGGTTTGTCTGGTGAAAAAAGGAAAATGGTGGGACGTCAATACAGTTTAATACAAGTAGGCAAGACTAAAAAAACACTTTATCTTTCTGCACTATTTCTAGTGAAAAATAGCTGGTTTCTATGAAATATTTTGTTCCGGATGAATTCGTCCACTGGGAGCTCCGTGATACGTAGGATGTACTCAGGTGGAGATAGATCAGTACTGAGTACCCCAGAACGTCACCAAAGACGCAATCGAGGATGAGCTCGAAAATGTCAAGTGTACGAGAAAGGATTTTCTTTTGGGGTTGATTTCCTGGAGGGCTATTCACCAGGGGCTGGAGCTAAATACTTGAGTTACGGAGGATGAGCCATGATATGACACCGAACCTAGAAAATAATAGGTGCCTTCATCCTATCTTGACTTTTTTTTTCTTTGTATGAGATGGAGATGGTGTTATCTTGGTCACCTTTTTTTGCTACTTTTGTAGGTGTGATTTTCTTTGACAGATAACTTTCAACTTTGATAATAGTCTGTGATTTACGGAGCCCACAGCTTTATTTGCACAATGTCATTATATAGGACCACATCGTGTCTGTTGTCAACACTGCTGCCCATAGAGTTGGAATCATTTTTTTACTTCCATCTTTTCATGAAATGATTACCGGTATCGATATGGTTTCATTCTTTGATAGATAAAGTTTGTATCTTCTTAGAACTTTAGTGATCAATTTGGTAAGCCTTAGACATTGATCAATGAAGTTGTGAGAAAATTTCAATAAACAATATTGTCACAATCATTTCATGAAAAGAGGTACATGTAAGAGCGAATTATTCAAAGTTATTTATTTATTTATTTATTTAAAAAATATTTATACAGGATAACAATATCAACCAAGGCTGTTTTTCATATTGGTCCTGTATATACATACATGGTAAAATACAAACAATATATACAAACTATCAGTGAATACAAATATCATTGAAATACAAATATCATCGAAATACAAATATCATTAAAATATGCAAAACATGAATAGATTCCATGGATATTAAATAATATAACATTTTATAACATAACCAGTGAATAGACACATGGATTATTGGATTTACATTCATAGATTTACCCAGGATCACAAAAAGAATTATTTAACACAAAGTAAGAAAAAACAAAAAACAAACAAACTTGTATTTATTAAAGTAGGTAAAAAGATATATACAAACATCCATGGATATATTGGTTATTTAGAAATTAATGATGAAACTTTATCAGCAACAGTGTATATGACTGTAGTTTGTATTTCACTGTACATGTATAGGCCTACAAAAACATATTGTATCACAATTATAGAAAATGGTCTCATTAGCTTGGCCATGAGTGATTGATAGAACCATGCCCATTTTTCCAGCTTAATTTTTAGAGTGTGATCATAGTCTTTCAACATTTGATTAGGATCAACATTCCAGACAATTATGTTTTATTTGCTTTTAAAACGGCTTTGGTATTTGATGGTACAGTAAGTTAATGTTGAGAGAAGTTGTTAACAGCAATAAACGTATGCCATTTATATTGTAAGATGAACTTCTATACTAAAATGGGGGGGAAAATGAGATTTTGCTACAGGCACGAAGCAATGTAATTGATTAAGCTAATTAATTTACTCATATTTCTGAAGAAAAAAAGATTGAATTGTAATTAATATATTTTCAGGCTATGTATGTTCAGACATTGACAATTATGACACAACAACAAATATAGATTAGTCATAATATGAACACCACATTTGTACTGTTTACATTCTAACATGCTTTTGCAGGAAGTATTCTTTTTTTTATAATGAATGTGGCTTAAAAATTAGACTGCAAGAACTATATCCCTGAAAGTTGAAGAGATATATATATATGAACAACATTTAATAGGCGAAAAATTTATGTTCTTTTTCAATAACAGTGATATTAAGAATTCGCTTTGTATAGGAAGGTGGAATACTTGTAATAGACATCATCATAACTAAATGTAGATGAGTATTTTCAGCGAAATCCAAGAGGTCTTTTTACCGGTATCACCAATCGCTAGCCATTACTGTTTAGAATTAGACTGTCTTTAACTTCATTTCAAAAGTGACATCATTCCTATAATTTGATGTCCGTGTGGGTTGGAAACCATTAATTTCTCAGCTATTCTTTGGTTAGGCTTGAATGTTTCACCCTCAGTAGGAAGGTAGGGCGGTGTATTACTTCCCAACTAATGGATTGTCATTAGCAAGGGTGTCATTTTCACACGGCAGCCCATTAACTTTAACTTTAAGACGTAGTTTAAAACGTAGAAGTTTTCTTGTAGTTAGAGACATTGCGGACACACCCATGGTTACAAACTTGAAGTTAACCTGAAGTTCGCAAACCACGACAGGTCATGAGGTTAGCATGATAACTACGAAAAGCGGAGGGATCCTCAGTTAAAGTTATGTACCATGTGGACGCAATTAACTTCAAGTATACACCAGCTTGTAGTTGAAATGAATGTTTTCCCCAACTTGTAGGTAACTTTAAATATTCAGCTTCAGTCTTGTGTGAACACTCATCGTTGTTAGTGAATCGTTATTTATAAAGTTGAATTTTTGCAAACATAAAGTTAAAAAAACATGATGTTGTGTGAACATGGCTATAGCCTACCAACCTATGTAATGGGAGAATTTCCCATGTTCCCACTCAGACATCGAGTTACCGTCCGTCCGACCGAGGTTAGATGCCTGGCTGGGGAACTGTCAGTCTGATCTGATAGCAGTATGTGATGACGAGAGGCCCCCTCGCCGCTTTTTCCTAAACACGTACAGCTTTCTCGTCTTGCGATTGAAAAATCCATATAGCAGGTCTTTATTTATCATTGTAGCTGGTATTCGCTGGGGATAACAGACTGCCAAGTTGGGAGGTAGGTACTTTTTGTAGGTACATGTAACTAGTACCGTACTTGTTTCCAGAATGGATTTTGTAGAAAGAGTTTCATTGAAGTTGAAATTGTATGATATGGCAATCATCCTGTTATGTGAACTCAGTATGTTGCTGCATTACATATGTTATACAGGAGTATGTAGGCCTAGACATGTTTCTGCTCTCATGTATCTAATACATGTAGTGGTTAAAGAATTTGCCTAGAGAGCGGACCAACCTCTTTGGAAAATTTAAAATATTTTTAGAACCAAATTCTAATGTGTTGTACATGTCTTGGTAGAAAGCATTCATACATACCGTCGGCTGTCCGCAAGATGTCCGTAAAAGCTATTTATTGTCAATAGTCTTGCGGGCAGCCGACGATATGTATCTCAAATTATTTAATGCCAGTGCCTTACACAGTGTCATGTAGCAATTGTTTCATTATCTGTCACATATACAAAATAGTTAATCATTGACACAGCAAAGTGTACACTCTCATACAGATTAAATCACCATGACCTTTTATTGAACTAATTGGCGAGTTGAACCTAAGACCATTGAATTTCATTTTTAATAAGAATTTGACTGTAATATTCATGAACTTTCAAATGATGACGCCTGTTCGAAAAAGAGGTTATTCACTATTTGTAAACACCTACATGTAGGTCTTTCAAATATTTACATTTGTGTTAAACAAATAGTTTAGAGCCTATTGGAGTAAAATAATATTTTGCTTATAATTTTGCTTGTGATTTCTTTCTTTGTAGAGGTAAAATATGAAATGCTTGGTCTCTTTTAAAAAAAAAAGTACATCTTCTTTCATGGTTTGGATTGGTTCTGAAGCTTGCAGTGTGAATAATAAATAGAGTTGTTTTGTTCCCGGGCCATTTTAGAATATTGTAAGGTCGCTGTATTATCCATCTGGCCCTGGTGCGATCTGGACCGATCCAGCAGCATGTGAACTGGGTCAGTGTTTGGGTCAGATCAGGGGAGCTTTGGCCTGGGAACAAGGGCCCATGCATCTGGAATTTTCATTCTCACCAAGCACATCCCAACTATCTTTTTCTGTACTTGTGACATAATCAATGGCTAATATTAGATAAGATCCTGTTTCTGCTATAGATGTCCTTTTGAGCAAGGATTATCCATTCAAAGGCGTTATTTTGCAATACTTACAGGACATAATCTCTTATCTAGGGTGAGACAGTTACCATAGTACAAAGGTCTAGTCTAAAGATGACATGATAAGCCATTATGCTAATGAGGGTTCGCTCAACCGAAGTCCGTTTATTTGCCCTCTAGTTACTCACCGTTGTAAGGGGGTGTTGCTATTGTCTGATGCCATAAAAGGGAACTACCTACATGTACTGTTGATGATGTGAATGTTTCCCATGTACTCACTAAGCAGACAATACAGCAGTGCATTTGCTTTGGTTTTCCCCTGAAAACCAAAAGAGGACAAACAGGTCTGTCTGTGTTTTTATTGCAACATGCTCTCTGCCAGAACATGTGTGGCTGACTGCATGACATCACTCGTGAAGTAACTTCAAACATTTGATCAGGGATTGACTATAGTTATGCTGGTATGAGCTCCCACAGACGGTGTGTCATTCAAGAACTTTACTTGACACTTGACGGCCTGAGTGCGAGGAGACGTGGTCAGCAGTCGTGATTTTTCTTTTTTTTATTGTGGTGGAAGCGGGGGTTTTCACCTTGGACGTGGGTCGTAATCAACAGGCTGCATCGTTCAGGAAGTTATCTAGCCATTATACAGTACGTGGTGTGCTGACTGGTCGGAGAGAGAGAGAGAGAGAGAGAGATAGACAGCAGAGAGGAAGTGGAAAAGAGGAGGAGAGGGAGGCTGACACTGTTTTTGTTTTCCAGTGACGTATATGGTATAGCTTCACGAGTTTGAGCATGGACCTTGGTTTGAGTATAGCTGTTTCCTGCATGTGATTGGATTCCGCGTAATTAAACCATTCTCTTGCTAGATCCCTGTCGGCTCTCATTCCCGTCGACTCCCCCCGGAGGGAACAGCATGGCCTTGTGAACATTTCGCAGCCAAAGTCAAGCACATTTTCATTGGGGAGGATATAGGCACCATTGGAATATATATACCGGTAGACAGGCGTTGCATTTGGATCAATTGAACGCCCTGTTGGGATATATACCGGTAATATGAACTGATTTGCTGGTGGGGTTTTGCTGCATATTGAATTAACCACTATGTCACAGGTTGGTGTAATAACAGTCCATTTTTTGCTTTGATTTATATGCTGTAGGCGGATGTGGCTTTCATTTTGTTTTTACTTTTACATCAGGGAGTTCTTCCTGTAATGACTAACCTTATCATTGGTATACAATGTAGGCCTATAGTAATACAGGACATACATTTGTATTCACAAATCATGCAAGCGTGTAGGCTATGTACAGTGTATTTGTGTTCCTATATGCATGACTTGTTATACATAAATAATATAGATTTGTTGGTTTGTATATAAAATGGGCAGTGTAGATTGATAATTTTACTACCCTGCTCATGGCATATGCATTGATCATTTTGTGTATTAGCTGCAGACTAGATGTTGATGAAGAAGTGTTCTCTTCTGTACAGTTCTTCTCTAAAAAGTTTTCTTTACATGAAGAAAACATTATAGGCCTATGTGTAAAGTAACTTTTAATCCCTATGTTCAGGTCACATTCAGGTCAAATAAGGAAGTAATTTATGATTAGCAGATGTAATTGTCTCATTGGTCTCTGTTTACACTGGAAAGCAATGGTAGATCATCTGGATGTGATGGTTGTATGAAATGTTCATCTCATGCTCACACATTCACAGTCAACCAAACTCCTAACTGGACCCAACACTGTACGTAACCCTACCCTAAAGGTTTACCTTTTTTCATGGTGGCTGTTCACTAGGGGGTGCTGATTGATAATTTTATTGTTTATGCATGAGCCCTGTTTTTGAAATTTGGGGTCCAGACAAAAGAACTTTGGTGTCAGTGTATCCCAGGTGCCTTTTAAAATTGAGCCATGCCTGACCTATATCTTTGACAAGGTACAGGTTAAGGAAAGATTTCCTTTAGAGACAGCCACCTAAAATTTACAGCATCCATGTTAGGGTTATTGATAGGGTAATGATAAGTAATAATGAACAAATATTCAGTATTATTCATTATAACCCTATCACTAACCCTAACGGTTAGCATGTGAGCACATGTGCAGGTTTGGCGCTCACATGCTGTCAATTTTAGGTGGCTGTCGTAAAAGGAAATCTTTCCCAGGTAAATTCTAAAGCAAATATTGCCAGAGCAATATCCAATTTCAGATCACTGATGTAATATCACATTTGCCCATTTCTGCTCTACATTGATTTATTTCATGACGAGGTCTCATGAGGGATGCAGGCAGGCATCTGTAATATGAGGACAACATCGTTCCTCTGGGAAATTGGCAACTCACAAATCCAGCATCATTACAGATTATCGTTCATGGTTGCCTTGGCGATAACAAAAAAGGCAAAATGTGTGATTCCTGACCTCCAAAGGATGGCCCCACAGATTTGAAATGTTTACCATTTGAAAATAAAATGCATTCCTCAAACCTAAGGGACTGTATTTATTGAGAATTTCCAAGAACTCAACTCAAGCGAATCTGTTTTTTTTTAAATGCTATATTTCAACAAATAAACCAATAGCTTTTTCAGCCAATAAAATTTGTGTGAGTGGAAATTTTCAAGGGGAAATGAGCATTTACATGTATTTACATTATTTGGGTAAAAAAAGGAAATTCATTAATGAAGGTTGAAATCAAATTTAATGCATTGCAATATCGCAACCTACATGTAATACCCTTCTTCTGGTTCTCAACAATTCAAATTATTGATGTTGCCTTTTTTTCTTCATTTATGGAAGCTCTTTGGAGAGTAAATTTAGGGGTGTGTCACTCCATGCTCTATCTCATCGTTAGCTGAACCCCACCTTGCATTTCTTGTGTTTGTGCAAAATGATTTCCAAAACCCACCATTTAGGAATGCATGGGCCCCATATTCCAGGTGCGTCGGACCCCCGTCGGTATTATCTTGTTCCCGGAACAAGCCAGAAGATGACACTTGTTTACCTTCCTTATAAATGATCCAGAGCGGGCTACCACTAGTACATAATTCATCAGGGCTATCACTATCAGGTTTTTGTTTTCTCGGGATAACAAGGCAGTGAGAGCAGGTGTGAAGTGACCATATTCTTTATCTGGGGCCTGTTTCACAAAGCCTTTTTTCAATGACAAATGACCAAAATCGGTGATAAAACTGATAACTGTGCTGATAACCAATCAGGAGCAAGGATTTCAGTAGCTTATAACAAAAACTGTCTTTTGTCACTGATGACAAGTTTTGTGAAACGCCCCCCTGGTGACCATGTCTTTTTTTTACCTTGTCTATCCCTTTTCTTTTGTCTGTCAGACTTCAGAGAGCACTTACAACGAGTATGATGACAGCGCTATTACGGACATGAGTGAGGAGGGGACGTCATCACCCAGCCCCCTCATCAATCTCGAGATGGACGAGGGCGTGGAATCCCTGATGGCCATGGACTTCATTTCAAGGTGAGTCAATCGTTTTTCTTCTGTGGATCTTTATGACTGATTCTCATATTGGTATAATCACCTGTAATCTCGGGCTCCTTAGTAAGATGGGGTCTTGTAATGCCCTCCCATAGCTCATCAATATACCACTGCAAAGATTTCATTTCTTAAGATTGTTCTGATTCATGCATACCCTTATGGTATTGATATGATATTGGATGGTCAGCAAACTTCAGTCTTGTCCACGAATGTAACATGTAGGTAAATACCTCAAATTACAACAACAAATACTGTACACAAATCTGTAGCAAACTAGATAATGGTGTACTTTTGTGTGTGCTTTTATACTTCTGTATCTTCCAACACATAAACAATGCAAGTATGATTATGACGTATGTTGCATGCTGCAACCATTTATTGTGTACCCGGCCACCCCACTTGCCACATTCATTTGCAAATAAAAATGTTTCTCATGTTGCCATAGTGGATTCTTAAGGCAGTATTACTATGTAATGTGTGAACCATGCTTAAATCACAAAAAAGCTCAATGTAAATTGGCAACCTTGTGATTTCCTGTGCAGCTACCCTCTGCTCATTTTTATATGCAAAATTATCCCCAGTGGGCCAGACCCATCTACTTGGTGAACAGCATCTCACAAATATGTTTCCACTTTCCATTGATGTATTTTGAGGAACTTTGGGCATCTGACAAAATGTTTCTTTAAACATAAAATCACAATATATGAAATTGGGTGTGCAAATCAAGTGGAATAGCTAGCTCCCAAGGGAAATCAGTGAGTGGCTACATAGTTTGTGCAGTGATCTGTATGGTAGAAAAACAATGAATTCATCTTTCATAACCTTTATCAGATGTTATTCAAGCTTTCACTGAACTATTTTAAGTTTTGCTGTGATTATTCAAATCGAATGGATGCTGGAGTACAAGTAGAGTTACCATGTAAACGGGTAATAACTTTGCATCTCTGCCTCTGGACTTCTCATTCAGAGTGCACTTATGATCTTATGTCGGAGGACATTGCAAATGGATATTGATACCGGTACTCGTGCTGTTCCCTGTTGCTTAGGTTACAGATGAAGCCTCAATGTCATTTTGATCTTGTCTGATATAAATCATTACACGTCTGATATAAATCATTACACGTCTGATATAAATCATTACACGTCTGATATAAATCATTACACGTCTGATATAAATCATTACACGTCTTACATAAATCATTACACAGTGATCAGATGGATACAGAATAGTCCAAATAATTCATGTAAAAAGTAAGAGCACAGGAAGGTGTTTTTTCTTGATTGAATTGAAGTCATCTCAAGTACCTATGTTAGATGCTATCTCATGAGAAGCTACGATCTGATTACAGGTACATGGTATGTGGTTACACAAGGAATTTTTTATGAAACTTTAATAGGCAATACTGTTTGCAAGATCATGGCGATTCTTTGGAATCGGACTATATAATATTCATTTGTTCCGATCATTAAATCATACTACTGGTATTCAAAGAATACAGCACATTTTATACAAAGATAAAGTAAAAAGTTAGAACCTTGATTCTTTAGAGATGCCATATGCATTAATTTGGTAAGCAATTTGGAATGTTGAATTACACATCTTACACAAATGGTTTGTATATGTATGTGAAAAACTTGCAACCTCAAGCATATTTTTACAGTACATCCCTCCCTTTAAAAACGAGCTGTTGCCTTTTCTGGGATCAATATTTGATGAGCTCGTCAATTGTTTATAATCCAATCAATTTGTGCGTGTGACTAGATTTCAACTCGGCATTATCTGACTTGAATGGCAGACTCCCATAATAAGTGGTACGTGTAGTCTTGACTTGATGGAGTAGCAACGTTTTCTTGGAAATCACAATCATTAAAATCAATATGTTTGGGATTAAATGCTAGAATAAGGAAGAAGAGTCTGATTGAATGTGAAATCAATAATTTGAGGAGCTGCTCATGCTGGTACATGTAGGAGTATTCACATTGCTGAAGGCAAAAGGTTAGACTGGTATGGTTCATGTTGCACATCCATGTACAGCTACTGTACATGTCCATGTAGTACGGCCATTTTGTTTATGGTTGATTAATATTAATTATTATTAATAATATGGTTAATATCAATGTTAAAAGCATGGCAGAATGATAAAAATCATGCATATTTAAACAGAATTCTAAAGATTGATTGCATATATATCATAACCCCACATACAGTATATCACTTGGTATGATCTGAGTTCATAAGGCTCTGTTGATTAACTAGAGACTCATGAAAGATTAACATTTTGCAAGCCTTTTCAATTATGTGATAGCTTCCTCCTCCTCCCCATCCTTATTTTTATCTATTGAGAGCCAGAACAGTGTTAACTGACTTAACCCTAATAAGGCCGGGGGGGGGGGGGGGGCCATTATGGCCCCCCCCCCCTCCACAATTTTTCTGATTGCTCGGGAACGCATATGGATGGCGCCCCGCCGCTCGCTGACTTTTTTCTTTCGAGTCTTGCGCAACTTTTAAAATAATTTTTTTGAAAATCGGACCTACGGTTACAAGGTCACGTGACCTTTTGTCTTTGCATGTCAGCCTGAAAATCGCTCATTTTCGTGATTTGTGTACAAAACGTATGGCAAAGTCATTTTTCCTAAAAATAGATCAAACATGGGTTATTGGGTCTTGTTTAAAGTTTAGGTGGTTGTTTTGGGAGTCAAAATAGTTGAATTGTAGTAAAAGATGAAATAAAACAACAAAAACAATGAAATACATAAGTTAAAAAAACAATGAAATACATAAGAAATTATCAAAACAAGGGATAACATAAGAAATAAGCTGGCTCTTCCAAAATTTTTGTCGTATTATTATTCAGAATGGTCTAATGAATATATCTAGTGAAAAAGAATGCTTAAATATGAATAATATATGATTTATGGGTAAAAATGTGATTTTTATGACTTTATTTGCATAAATTACCATAAATATGCAAATGAGTGATTTTTTCAAAAAATTGAAATTATCATATTATTCTTTACACTTCACTTGACATGTGTGCAAATTTTCGCGGCGATCGGCCGCTTTGCGGCCGAGATCTTAAGGGGGGCCATAATGGCCCCCCCCCCCCCCGGCCCTACTAAGACTTCAAATAGCCCGGCCCTATTAGGGTTAACTCTGTATTCTACATCTAGTATACAAGCTAATAGCCTTCTTGCTCCGAATTATATACATAATGTACATGTTTGTAGTATTCTGTCTTTGAAGCTTTGTTGTCATTGGTTTGTATATGTTTTTTCATTTTTTTAAAGCAAAATATTCTGATATATTTATGATTATTTACTCAAATACATGTAGATGCAATACATGTACATCTAGTGAAATATGTATCACACTCGAGGAAGTCCTGCATATTTACATGTAGAAAAGACATACAAAATCATCTCGCAGTATACTGTTTCTGCTTATTATTGTAGTGTAAGTGTTTAGGAAGCTGAACTTGATAAACAGCTTCAGCGAGTGCATGAAATTGAAGCCTTCAAAAAAATATCTCCTGGCTATTTCAGTGGAAAACAATTCCTCTGAGTTTGCAAACAATGTCAATTATATTGATGAACACATCCTGATCTGACGACAGAACTATACAGTAACCTCTTATGGGTTCGATAGAAACCAATCCCATCATTGTTTTCTGGAGTCTGGACATTTCTGGGCCATATGTCCAAGGAGCAACCTTGCGGGATTCGAGCCATTGATTTCTCTGTTTTGTTGGGGGGAACATTGGAACCGAGTTTTATTCTATTTTTCTTGCTGTGGAAAGTGTGGATAATACTCTCCTATTGATCGATTGGGAAGGGCAGCGGCAGAAAAACAATGAGGCGCAATAGGGAGGAATGCGACAGACGTCAGATAAAATAACACTTCACAATCCTGATTTGCTGTATGTGATCTACACTGGTAGAAAGTTCAAATTAAAGGTGGATAAAAGAAAACAATTTTCTATGTAAAATTGTCTGTATTTGTGAATTAAATTGACATGCAGTATGTTCTGGGGAACATTTGTTATTTTATTTTTATAATTAACATTTGTCTTCTTTCTACGACCATGTTTGTCCTCATTTTTTAAAGTACAGTATTACATGTACATGTACATGACACAACTCATGTTTATTCAGAAGTATTTAGGTCCCTAAATCTTGGTAAACAAAAATATACCAGTATTTAAACATTTTGGACTGATGCTAGTCAGTGCATTATACTTCCTCTCATAATGGTTAACATACATGTATGTACACAAAAGATGATTCATTTCAAATGTATGGTTGACACCCCTTTTGCATACAGTACATGCAGACATTCAGTTGCGGACTACATGTACATGTGTATTATTTTTCAAGTCCCCAATGAAAAAGTGATAGATTTGATTTTAGCTGATGCAAACAGTCATGTAGCTGTTTCAAAATTTCATGAGAAGTGTAGCTCATGATCATAGCTCATGCATTTATGATAGGTGACTCGGGTCATGATATGCATTATTTCTTTTCCCCTTCATATTCCCTCTCAAATATGTGTGTACCGGACTACCGGTATATAAATGTATACCGGTAATAGATTTCAAGCTTATATATCCTCCATGTATATATTTCAAACAGCCTTGATATTATACAATGACCATTTCCCACATTAACTACAATACAGTTCAATGGGCTCTATCATTATGTGTAGACATCAATAGGAACTTTACTCATTTAGGCAAACAGTACAGAGGCTTATACAATTTTGGTGTTTGTATATTGATTTTGTAAATCGCTGGACGTGTGAGTCAATGGGAATATTTGAGGCAAAGGACGACCTCGCCCATTATTAGTGTGCATTGTGACCCATCGCCAGATGTGTCTGCGGTATTCAATATGTATTTGTTGATCAATTTTTTGTTGTTTCAGCCACAGGGAATGAATGATGGGGATAAAACAAGTACATGTATTTATAAGCGTGTTTATGCAATTGGCATGGTGTTAAAACATAGTGGTGGTATCAGTTTAGAGTGGATATGGACACATGAGAAAAATATTGGAAAATTGAATTCTAGGTTGTTTGCTTTTTGAAGAAAAACAATATAGAACAAACTATTCATTTAATAATAGTTAAACTGAATTGAGCTGATCACCAACTGTTCATTTTAAAACACTGTATACATTTGAAAATTTCTATCACACTCTCACTTCATACAGTATTAGTTTCTCTGAATTATGCAATAGTAGATTTAATTTGTGGACAATCTGACTCTAAAGATATACATGTAGCATAATGCTTTTCTTTGTCAACAGCATTACCTGTGCAGGCTATATTAAAAAGATATTGGTCTTGATTGTCTAAAGAAGTTGGGTCTTCTTCCTTACAATACATGTAAACCATCTTGCTTTGGTGATTAAATGTAAACTTTATCACTCACAATGCTCTGATCCTCCCCTTTCTAATAACAGGGGTTGAAATATTCCCAATATCAGGTTTTTTCATGGATATGTGATACTACATGTACATGTATGAGGCAACAGATAGAAGAACTTGAAAGAAATTTAGGCCTTGAAACCTTGACAACAGATTTCTGGGAGATACAACAAGTATCATAGATTTGTAGTCACTTCCAAAGCCATACCTTTTCTACTTTCAAACTTGGATAAAAATATCTAACTTGGTTAAGTACATGTACTGTACATGCACATGTAGTTTATGATATTGCCTCTGTGTTTTTTATATTTGATAGCATCGTATGGTGATTTGATAGGAAAGCTCAATTTATACTCAACTTTAATTGACCTAACTAATTGGCCATCTCTCTTTTACGCCTCCAGTTCCCAAAGCCACCCTGGCATGACCTTCTCTGTTCCTGTCATCAACGGTTCCGAGGAGAACTTTGAGGACTTTGGTGAGAACGACGCAGGCATCGAGGTGGAGGTCCAGGACGCCAGTAGCCTCTCGGATTCCGGAGAGACAGCCATCACAGACAGGCAGACACCTACAAATATACTCAACGGGTGAGCAGACCAAAAATTCTTTAACCTCAAGGGAACATTTCTTTCACATGTACTTGTATTTCTTGTAGAAAATGAAAATCAATTGGCATTTTTTTTCTTCGCAGGGCTACTTTTAAACTGGTAAAAGGGCCCTTTAAGGTGTTCCTGTAGGTTTTTACCACCTTCTTGTTTCCAGAGTATCCCATTCTCTCTCTGCTCCCAAGGCCAACTCAAGACTAACTCAAGACTTTACATTACCCTGAATGGCCAAGAATTGGTTTGGTCGGAGTTGTTCAAGAGGTGGTTTGGCAGTGTCACTATGTTTGAACATTATGCTAATTACTGGATTCTCGAAGAGGAATCTGAGCAATTAAGAAAAATAATTGATTATTAAATTAGCTTAATTAATGAGCTTGTGAAGTTGTTCAACACTAACGACCTGAATCAGACCTGAGCTTGCAACACCGGTGAATGATCTCTCAGCATGTAGAACGTGTAGAATTTTCCACCTCCATCTCTGTCTCCCTCTCTCTCCACCTCTGCCTCCCTCTCTCTGTGCTTCTTTTCTCTCTTTGTGGATTTAAAAAAATAGATACCATTTCAACTCAATTCAATTCAACTCTTCCAATCAAGGCCTATTGATCTGACTTGACAGAGAAAACACTGGCACTGGTTCTGATTTCATTGCAACCTTTCTCTATGCATGGGACTGCATCAATCATGCCAAGTCATGAAGCAGTCCCACATATAGAGGCCCGTTCATCTTGTTTTAATGGAAACCAAACTCCCCTAACCTGCAATGATTGAAAGAGCATTGCTATCACTTTACCACAAATCATCTGAATGCTGGTGATTTGTGGCTTCATTTGAATGTCATTGGAAGGAGTACATCATTCAATATTGGATCTAATATTCCTGAGATGCTGTGTATCGTATATGTGAAATCAATCTGCATGGTTGAAAAAAAAACAAGCTCTTATTTGAATTCAGTAGAATTTTGATTCGTCATAAATATTCATAAAAGATGACAATTTTTTTCTTCTCTTAATGCAGTTGCCCCACTAAATTTTTTAGAATTAACATTCTGTGGAAACTTAATTAGGATTGGGCATTGTTTTATTTTTTTATACAAATTATATATTCTCCTGTGAGCAGTTCTCATAATTTTTGTTCAAAAATACATTTTGTTTTGTGGATGAAAAAACTAATGAGAAAGACTGTAATATGAGCTATATTCCCTGAAGGAGAATATTATAAAAGCAATTTCTTTTTTAAAACCCCTAAAGCTAAGTGCCGCCCCCAAGGCGCATTGGAGGCGTTTCAAGCTAATGAAATTTGTTTTCATCAATTATTGTCCTTGCACGAAGCACATTACACAGGAACGCCTTTAAGTGCCTGTACATGTAGCATGCCAGGAGGGACATAAAACAAAAATAAAAATGGGGCACTCTGCTCTATATTAATTTATGCATTGGTTATCTCTCTCGAATTATACATGATATTGCTTTTTCAGTTTTTCCGAGAAATGGAGCTTTAGACAAAAAATTACAAGGCGTGAGTGTGGAGATGAAAGGAAGTGACGTCATCGAAATTAGGGATATCAGTATCATGTGAATCTGGTCTATTTTGATCGCGAGTAGTCATGGTTAATAAAAAGATTTTCATCGAGAAATCCCTCATAATTGCAAATTCCATAATTGGGTAAAGACACACTAAATGGCATGTTTAGGATTCCTTGGATCATCAAATTTTACAAAAGGAAATGATATGCCATTGGAAAATAGTTTGGAGACTGATTGCTGGTTTCTTGTACATCAAGAAAAGCTTATGCATTTTTGTTGTCGCAGGTATCCTTTCATTTATTATTTTGCCCATTTATGAATGATTGTTAAATGTTTTTAACATGTTGAATGATAAATAAATTGAAATTGAAAGTTGAAAAATATAAATATCCTTCCAAAAGTTTGGGTGTCCATGCAATACATGACTGTCATTACTAATATTTTCTTTTAGTGTTAACTTGACGTTGGAAAATGAATTAATATCATCAGATTAAATACACCAACCTCGATGAAAAGAAGGGTTAAATACAACTAAGTTATCTAAACAGGAGAGATTTTGTGCAAAACAAGTAAAATGTCATCCTGATCCGGAGGATGAAAAATAACAAAAGCTGTTATCCGTAAACATAATCAAGTTTCTTGCGGAGAGGAGATCTTCCTATTGTCGCTCTCCCTTAGCTCTCTCCTGCAGCTCTTGGACATGGTCTCATGGGTATCAACAACCTTATTCTTGTGCCCTAGAGGAAGAGAGGTTGTAAAGGGTTCTCAGTCTTGATTATAAACAAGCAGGAATCTCTCATAGTTCCATTAGAACAACACTTCGAGAGTGTAGGAGATATAGGGCAATGTGAATTCAAGATTCTGTGTAACCCCCATCAGATTTTAATACTGCTTTTGTTGCTCGAGGTCCTAAAACACAAAGCACCTAATATTTGAGTTTTTCCCAAATGCACCTGCGTACTAGATAATGAAACCATAAAATTAGAAGTGCAATATTCTATAACGAAACTACCCCATGTGTAGAATTTTTAAATTATTTTTATCTTATAGGAATTTTCATATGAATTTCATATTTATGTGAATAAAATGCAAACCCGCACATTCTTATCTAATTAGCGGTAAATGATAGCATTGAAAACTTCAGAGCCCCTCCCTCGCCTACCCCCCCCCCCCCAAAAAAAAAAAAAAACACAAATACATAATTGAAAAATAAGTAAATTAATAAATGAAATAGAAATAAATTTTGCTTCTTTTTGAGCCCCTGAATAAGCACAGAAGTTCAAGAGATATCAAAAAGTGCTGTCCAATTTATACTGGTGTTATGGGGAATGAAATTCCTGTCGAACTGAATCCTCTCCACACCGTAGGAACATTAAATTACACCAGTACTGCTGTATAAGCACTACTCCTCGCCCGTGTGAGTAGTGGAGAGAGCTAACTGGACATGTATTGATTATCCCATCAGTCAAAGCTGATGTTCGTTCGTTCGTTCGGTGGGGTCCAGAGTTCAAGACCGATTAGGACATAGAGTAGAAAACCAAATGCCGTTAACCCCTATCGGCTGGTGAGTCAGTGAGTATCTAGGCAGCCGTGAAAAAGATTAAACCAAGTGAAACCATAGGTGTGTAAAAGTAGATAAGGGCAAGACCTGTGTAATTGGTCTCTTTTACTTCTTGACTTTTCTTGTCCCACATTTTAAGAAGAAAAAAAGATTGTTCTTTTTGCTGTTATTTTTCTTGAAATAAGCTTTTGTCTTGTAGCACTTTCACCTTGGGTGAGGTACAGTAAACGTATGGGATGAAATACATTGGACTTGGCCAAAGAGATAGCTAAAATTCACTGTACATGCTTGCAATTATGAAAAGTACACAGTGCATGTTTTTACTTGCTATTCAACATTTTGAAATCAAATTATTGTGTTTTTAAAAGGCCATCTAGAATGTCATCATCCATTTTTATGAATTATATAAGTTTATACACCATTATATTTATATTCCACTTGGTGAAGTATTGAGTTTTTTTTTTTTTTTTTTTTTTGGGGGGGGGGGGGGGTATTCCAAAGAGGATAATTTTCTTTAATTATTTTCTCAAAAATTTTCATTGTGTAAAATAGTATAACATCTAGAACATGACCAAAGTGGGGCCTCTAAACCATTGCAAAATGAATTCTTCATAAGTTCAATATTGAAGTCACAGTGTCTCTACACAGGGAAGATGAACTCATTATCATTTTAGGTTAATGAGATGGCTTGGTTTACTGCAAGGTCAAACAAATCGTGTTTGGATCTAATGAGGATGTAGGCAATGGGCAGAGCACTTTGCTTCACTTGATACTATCTGTAAGTTGATACATAATTGTATCACTTATAATTCTACCATGATACAAACAAAATGGAAGATGGTGAAATATATTAACGACATGTGTTCTTTTAAAAAGGGAAATTAATTGTCAGTTTTCAACATATCTTCCAGTTCAAACTATTGTTTAACATTCGTTAATACTTTTAAAACAAGTGGTAATTGATAAATATTACAAGCAGCGATATGTTTGAATGAGTCAGATATAACCTGAAGGTACATGTACATGTAATCAATTGTAATGAAACAGAATAGCCAGCTTTCATTTGTATTGTCAAACAATCAATCTTTACTCCCAAACTAAAAATGAATTGCGTTTGATCTGCATGCTTTTGAGATTCATATATGTTAAAGAAAGATATCATGAATACCATAATGTGTTCTCCTGAGATTACTGTTACTGGTTCATCTTCATCTAATGCAAGCTCACTTTCTAGATTTAAATTGCAAGCGGCAAGAGGAACTTGGTAAATGAATAGAATTGCATTTGCCTGATTGAACCTGCGGCTTCCTAACTTGAATGCCTTTACTTTGCCTTAGATCGCTAGCTAGCACAAAGCGCCACACACACTTATTTATATACACACTATATCCCCCGACACTGGGCTTTGGAGTTCATAGTCATGTGATCAGCAGGAGAGCATCACACAGCTGGTTGCCATGACGACCTAGTCTTGAGTTTCAATAGCTGTGTGACCGTGGTGGTTTACGTTTTGGGGCATTGTAGGTTCCCACGCCTCTCAGTGTCGGTGAAGGACTGTATTGCATTGGCTCGTCTGAAGAGTCGTTCGGAATGGAGGTTATACATGTACTTTGCATTGCTAATCATATATGCTTTAATAGCAGTGAATACATTTAAAGTTTATTCGTGTATCAGACAAGATTGAGTTAAATAGGAGAATAATGCTTTTATTGCAAGAAATATTCAAGAAAATGATAATGGAGTTGTATACATGTAATACTTCCCCTATACTGTTATTATTATGTCATTTATCATAAACATAATTATCACAATACCATGATTGAAAACAAACATGAATGAACAAATAAATATAGGTACATGTCTGTTTTGGCATTAAAGCTTTCCTATACTTGTACTATTCCTCTTCTTTTACATATCACATGTTCTGGTCAGTTACAAAACCGATTTGTAAGAGGTACTGTCAAGATTGTCTGCTGAGAGCTAAAGGGGCATAACTCATCGCGGATGCAACATCCCTTATGGCTCTCAAGTCAACAGATGAAATGAATGAAATGTCAACTTTAAATCACATCTACCTCTTTTGCAATGGAAGGTCCATAAACAGACACTATGGAAAATTATATAGAGCTACAGGTGTATACCACATGTTGAATCTTATGAGTACTTGCAAATTGATACAAGTATAGATTGTCCATGATTGGATAATGTATCTGTTTGGAGCCAGAAGGGTGTTTCTCAGATTTGTTTCTTCTTCATATATGTACTCAGTGTTTGCCCATAGCTGTTGGAAAATACTGTCATTGCACACATCTCATTACCATGGGTCTGTGATGAAAGAGTATGCCTCGAGTTATTATCTGCAAACAACTAGAAATTAATAGAATTGAAGTGATTTTATTCTTTTCTTCTGATTTTTGTGTGGTTTTGGGGGTGATGCTTTAGATAATAAAGCAGGAAATTCATGGAAAGATGTTATTTTAGAAATACAAAGTGGATCGACAGTAGATATCTGTGATAATTACACATTTGATGAAAAAAGTCATTTGTTTTTATCCTTAATCATTGTACATGTAATTATAGCAATATTTGCATTCTATACTTTGTATGATTTAACTTAGATCGATCGTATTATAACGCGGTAAATGTAATATCTAGGTCACATAATGACAATTTTGTTCTCTTTAATCCCTTTCTTACAACTTGACCCTTTCAAATGTAACAATTTCAAACAAATTTTGCTAATTTTCAGATTTGTGTTCAGTGTATCTTTTTTACAGCCTATTCTAGGGACATCCTTGGCTTGTGGACTGTATAATGAATGTCTATTTCTTCCCAACTAACACCAAGCGTTATAAACTCTCACCCCTTGTTTTATTCTCCTCTCCCTGATCCTCCAATTTTCTTCCTTCCTTTCCCTCCCCGCACAGCCTGTCTCCCTACGAAAGTCGGAAGCCGTACATGTCCAAGAAAGATGTGTGGTCACACATCCATCATAATCATCATCATAAATGGTACCTTCCTCCCTCCTTCCCTCTATCACTATGCTTGCAATGTTTAACCCACACCGTATTGTTTATTTTGATGGGAAATTTTAAAACACTGTTTTAGTCGCATATATTCTATCTAGCTTTTCTGCAGGTGTATTCTGTTGTATGGATTATGCCTAACTTTGAAACTGGAAGGAAGTGTCAAATTCTGGTGATTTCATCATTTTGCTGAAAATAACAAACTGAAACATTGCAAAATTATTTATACATTATTGCATTTTAGATTGAATGTCTAAAACAGCGAAAATTAGTTGCAAGTGTTATTGTCCTTGTATAGTATCTTGTAACCAGTTCATAATACATGTACATGTATGTACCTATCAGATAGCATGGGTTTTCAAAACAAATTTTTACAAAATATCAGACATCATTTGCTTCCTCTTTCAAAGTAGGGGATTGTCTATGTAATTTTAGTTTAGTAAATATATCCTCAGAATGAGTTTTATGCATTTGAATGTTTACAGCATATTGTGCATCTTGTATTGAATCTGTGTGCTCAATATTATTGATGGGAAAAAAATGAAGAATTCTACATGTATCTGCTTTCTTGAGTTTGAGCATGCAGTAAAAAAAAAAATTAAAAAAGGATGAAAATGGAAGCGTTGAATTGAAACCATGCAAAAATATACAAGATTATGCAAAAATGCAATTTCAAGCAACTTGCAAGCCTATATCATATATTCAGAGGCAGAAAGGTGCCAAGTCTGTATGTGAATTCCCTTTTAGCTCCAAACATACAGTATCTTAACCAGTCATACAGCTCTATTTGTACAGTAATGGGGTCCATGCTTCTCAGGTATTAAATTCTGGCCTTACATTATACATGTATTATGATTGGTGAGGGGTTATAAATCGGAAGCATACGCTTGAACAAGGGATAGTGAAGATCGATAAACTAATACAGTTTCTTAAACAGTCACATCTATTTGTACAGCAGTGGGGTCCAGTTTCTCTGGTATTAACATACATTAATTAAGATTTATGAGGGTTTATTAATTTGGAGCACACTAGTGCAGGTTTCATGGAAATCTATAATCTTGGATTCAGTTTGTATTAGAGCATGTTTTACACAGAAGCAGTCACATATTTTAGTGGAGGTTCACTTATTCGTCAGGAATGGCATCAATTTTGAGTTTCTTTTATTCATTGAATTAACACTGACATCTTGCATTATCTGATTTGATTTGGTTTAACATTTTCTGATATTTATTCTATTAACTTTTGCTTCAGTTGCACTCATATAACGCTGGGTTGATCTTTATTCACCTGTGTATGATTCTTATGAGGTTATATTATTGCCTGTATGATTTTTTTTCATGCACATTAATACTATATTTATGGTATGTTTTATGATTTCTATCTACCGTTGGTTTCATAATCCATCCTAATTTTCTATTCTTAATATACCTACATGTATAGTTCACAAATAAATGGTGTCGTATAAAAGCTTATCTTGTATATTATCATAGGCATACTAATTAGTTGTGTGTCTTGCAAAAAGGCGTTTGGTGGGAAACTCTTGATGCAAATTCCTACTGCCCCTTATCTGTTCGGCACTTAATGACTTTTTTTCATATTCTTTATCGAGCAAGTTATATATTCTGATCTACAGTTATTACCTGTGTGCTTGATTATGCCAAATGTCTTTATTGCAGTAATTAGCACCCCTATATATGCAGCTCATATCCATTAGCGCCTCCTCTGCATCTTGCGATCAATTATAATGTAGTTGGTCATATGGCCAGTACGTGTCGATGCAATATACGGTACATGCAATATACTGTACATGTACGTAGCATTGATTGACATGCAAATGTCTATAGTATGATTGTGTTGTTCTTTTTGGTCTGCCAAAGTACTGTGTACAAAGTGATAGTGTCATTTTTGTTCTTTCTTTGTTTTATAAATCCTTTAACCAGTGATTTTAAGGTTATAAGATATGAATTTCATCCTCTTTTTTAAATATTTTTTTAATTACAATCGTTCGATTAAATAAACAGATGAGACAAGTATGCATGTATTTTAATTATAATATTCTGTTTATTCCCCCATTTGTTTTAAAAGTAATTACTGTACTTGTCTGATTGAAATTTAAATTCATATAGCATCCATGCATAAACTCCAAAATACATGCAACAGTTGTGTCACACCTACTCTGCTATTCAAGGAAAGAATACATACATACATGTATATTCACCCACTCAAAAAATATCTCAAACATATTTTAGTCCATTTCCAACTATTTGCATTGGCAATATCAATTAGCATAATTGCTAGGACGTGGATCGTGTGGGCTGAGTATTTCAAGGTTCGTTATGACGGATCTCACGGAGCAAACAGTGTAATATTTCAGTCAGGAATGCGACAAATATGCAAATAGACACGGTTGGTCAATGGTGGATGGTATAAAAGATAGTGGGCACCCATTCTCTAACACATGTACCAGCCTGCATCAGTACGATTGCATTCAGAATTATCCTCCATAAACTTCAGCCTCTATTAGTTTTATTCATGATTTTGTGTAAACAACACAAATTACAGATGTCATCCTCTTTATCTCAGAGTTATGATGTTTATTGTTGTTGTTGTTTACTGTCGGTACTTGGAAATAGGTCAGAATCGATTTATTTTTGGTCCCAGTTTGGTTTCGGTTTATCAATGGCCTTTCCTTTAGGATGTTGGAATTATGTATACACATTCTTTTTTTTAAAGGCTTAGCCTGGTTGAAGACTAATCGATCAAGATACTCGATATTGTTTCATCGAGTTAAACTAGAATGAGTTTCCAAACAAGAATTCAAGATTTCAGTTCTTCAGAAAATGATTATTTTGTTCAACATCATTGTACAACAAATTTGTATCAAAGTTTTGTTTGATTGAACTTTTACCAAATTGTAAAAAAGAACATCAATATATTATTGTGTCATTACTTCAAATTGTTCATCTTCCATGATTTTCTCCCATGATTTTCTCCCATGATTTTCTCCCAATGAAGCATTCATTGTAATGGCCACATTTTGGGGTAATGATTTAACACTTACTCAACTTTGTTATAGAATTAATGTTGCCTTCTCAGTTCCCATATACCTTGCCTTCAACATTATTTTTCCTAGTAAAAATAATAATATGAATATAAATCAACCTTTTCAAAATACACAATACCTTTCTTTCCAGTAGATACCTTGCATATGTTTTGTATTAATTCAGTCAATTCTTTCTCTTTCTCTTTCTGTCCCTCTCAATGTGATATTGGCTTTAAATTTCCTAATTCTTGTTGCAAATTTAGAAGTTAAATTTTTCCTTGATCCTTTGTTTAGTAGCATTCTGAAAGTTCAGTAGTTTTTATTCTATACATGTTTGTGGTTAATTAGTGCATCCTTTATTAAAGTAGTATAATACCATGTAATCTTTCTTGGAAATCCTCTTTCTAGCACTAGAAAGCGTGCTGTAGTTAAGCCCCCTCGCAACCACCCGAGGTAAGAAAACTTACTTTTCGATGGAAAAATTTCCACCCAGAAAGTCACACCAAACATTGAAAAAACAAACAAAATGTGCTCACTTCATGTCTGCCTGTCTGCGATGAATTTACAATTTACATGAAAAAACGCTTTTGTCCTCAATGTGATTGGTATGAAGTTTGTCTGCTTCTCGTACACATTACATCATGTACATAAACATGTACACACCTTTGCCATTCACTGTATTTGGAAGAAAACAAATTAATTGCAAAAGAGTAATTTCCAAATTATTTTTTTCTTTTGGGGAATAATCATATTGTTTAAACTGTGTTGATTAATTGTCAGGACATAGGTTTTGGAAAAATGCTTAGTTAAAGAAAATTGAGGTTTTTAATTTGGGCAAAACAGGAATTGTGTAAAGCAATTAGATATGAAACAGAGATTACATTCTGAAGATGTAATGTTAACATTAATTGTACAGACAGTTAACATCTGTAGTTTAAACTGTATGATGAAATAATCATCCCTCCCCCTCAAATCAAGCTATAATTTTTACCGGTATTTTTCATCTGTCCTTTATCTCTTCCTTCAGCTGTCATATCCTTCAAAGTAGGCGCTTCATAAATGTTTGTCACAGCGTTGCTCCCATTAAATAGAATTTGTTTTTGACTACTGGCTGTGTCTTGTAAATTGCAGTATGAAAAAGTGTGCAATCTATTACCATTTATCGACTTTCATTTAACTTAAACAAATCCAGGAAATCATGTGTGAACTTCTAAAATTATAGTCCTCAATGTGAAATTAAAAGGTTCCTTTGTTGTCTCTGTAGTATATAGACGAACAAATTGAAAATACCAAAGGAGTTATGACTCCCTTATTACATTAGTATTGCTTGCAAATCACTAAGTCAATATTGATGTACTGCCAAATGTTGTTTTTATACATAGTCCACCACACCAATCATGCCTATCTACATTTACAGATGTATGACTATGGTTTACTTACAGAAGTGAAGCACATTGTACAATGTATGTTTGCATGCAATTTCACGACGCCCACATCTGAAATCAATCATTTCTCTTGCATGCTCAAAAATTATCATAAGGAAATAAACGAATCTGTAGAATATGCTTGTTTGAGGCACTCTGATTCATTTAGCATAAAGTTTACTGCAGTAAAGTTAATATCTGTACTGTCAATGTTATTGAGACAACATTCTTGGTACACAAAAAACTGCAACTTATTTTTGTGGAAAAATGATGAAGCATGAAGAATGATGAAGCAAAATTTGGTTTCTTATGTAAAGCTTAAATGATTGGGAGCTTATGAAATTGAAGTCTGTCATTGATGACAAGAACTGAGCAAATACAATTAACATGGAGATCATTAGTTTCACACACAGATCCTGGTTTTAGTTGTGTTCACAGACTCTCTTTGATGTTTATCACCATTTAAATGTAGGAATAGTCTTAATGGAGACGGATAAAATGTCACCTAATCGAAGTGCCTTCAAAATGGATGACATGATGGTAGCATAGCAGTAGGCAATTCAGCTAGTTCTTGTTTCAACCCATAATTATTTGTATTCAATGTCGCTGTCGACTCTGTGCCTCTAGACTATTATGCCTCAGTCACATACAAGATTTCCCTTTTCCCACTCCTTCAAGAAAATGGGTATCAATATTGGCATTGTGATTGCACTCATGCACCCCCGCCCATATCTCTGCTGAGTGCCGCTGCCAGAAGGGCATCAAATAAATGCAAAGAAGTCGACCTAAGTCCCTTCTTGCTTTCGGGAGAAGACAAATCGTCATGTTTATACACCTGAAACATAGAGTAATATTGAAAGTGATTAACGTCTCTTGAGAGCCAGTATTAACTCTGTATAACAGTATATGAGTTAACGCCCTTTTAGCTCTCGGCATACAATACATCCTCATATTGACATTTGAAGCATAGAGCAATATCGAAAGCGGACATATCATATTGACCATGCACACATCAATTTCAAAATATGCTTTCTGACTGAATATGGTAGGGTGAATATATCATCTATTTGGAGCCAGAAGGGCGTTAACGCATAGACATTAACACAGAGTTAATGCCCTTCTGGCTCTGAACAGATGATAAATCGTGATCATTGAGCGGGTTCATTTTACTAGCATTATTTACACTTCCTCCTTATCAGATGTGTATGATCATATTTGAAGTGTATGCTTTAATGATGCAAGATCATTATCATACAATGACAGCAAATATTGTTGTAGTAGGGAATATGCATAAAGGAGACACTCTGTATGGCAGGTTTATGGCAGCCATCTAAAGTATGGGTAGAGTAGACGACTTCTGGCAAAATTCATAGCATGTTTGATTTAGCCTTATATTCCACCATAATCTCAAACTTGCATCACGCTTTAGACATCACGAGGCAAGATTTTACTTACATTGCATCTTTTTATAATGATATATTTGTCTTGAAACAAAAATGTTCCACAGGATCAAGCATTATACTTTATGATTCCATTGCAATTTCAAGAAAAGATGCAATTTCATTTTAGTTTAAATTTATTGCAGACCAGTTTAATTTTGGACAGAAATTTCAAGGGGTTAACTGTTAAAGTGCCAATGAAATCATGCCCCACAGATTTTATTATTACAGTATTAATATAAGGTGTTATACAGGCATGTTGTACGTCATACATTGAATAATTGGTGTTGGCATCTGTATCATGATGGAGATAATATTCTTGGAGAGTAGCTTTCCAAGAAATTTAATTATCCTGCCATGGCCACTATGAAAGAAGATAACAGTAGAAAGGCAAGGATTTTTCTAGATGAGATTTTAAAGGTGCGTGTCCATCAGTTTGAATATTTAAATGTATGTGAGAAGAAATGAAGATTGGTAGATTCCTAGTGGCATACATGTATGAAATTTACTAGCGATAAAGATGGGATGATCATATAAGTGGTAGTTTTGTGTGATCATAATAATACATCTGGATTTATTTAGTGCTTGATCCGAAAAATCGTCTAAGAGCGCTCTTCTGTTATTATTAAAACTCTCGTCAACAGGTTCACTCATGCACACTGTGCACCATCTTCACTTCCTGGGGAGTATTCCTACCATATGGTCATCGTGGGGGCATGTGGCATTTACTGTCGCAAATGCTTTCTATTTCTCTCCTGGGTCTCTCCTGGGTGAAGTGCGGCAAATATAGATTAATGCCTTGCCAAAAGACATCAGTGCAATTTTTATCTTTAACAAAAATATGCTTGATGAATAATACTTGAAAAATTTTAAGTCTTTATTTGATAAGAATCAACTTAATCAAAACCCATGACTGCCACATTCTTTGGAATATATTGAACTTGTAAGTGTGATAAATTTGAAATGGCAAACCACTGTTGGTTCTATTAATCGACTAAAGCCGGTAGAGCTAGGTTACCTATTGTAGGTTATGATATTCTGTTGGCGTTCATAGAATTCTATTAGGATAAAGTGAAAGTGGACTACCAGTATATCGATCAAGTGTGAAATAGATCTGGATTACTAAGTTCAAGAAAAGAGGTTTTTCACTTGACTGAATGTGGAACTGAGTCTTGGCATTCATAGAATTCTGTCATTTAGGTAAAGTTAAAGTAGACTATACCGATCAAGTGTGAAATAGATCTGGATTAACTAGTTCTAAGAAAGAAGGTGTATTTCACTTGACTGAATGTGGAAGTGAGTCTTGTCTTTTGCTAGATTAGGCAGGTTTTTTTTCTTCCAGGTGAATTGTTAAAAAGAAAAGAAGCTGTGAGCCAGAACGGTCCCTATCAACTCTAGTGGTTAAAGTGTATGGGTTATAATTTATAACACCCTTGTACATGTAGTTCTCAGCAGACTACCTATGTGTTTATTTCTGTGGTTTGAGCTATAGAAATTCATTGTTTCTTCAATCTTGAGCTTTCCTTCTCATTCATCTTTTTAGATTAGACCATGCTTAATTCAAGTATGCATGAAATAATAGTCAGAGCAACTGTCCAATTATATATCTAGTCATCGTTGATTTTGTTTTTTTATCATCTTTGTTTGAAACATGTATATTATTTGTGCACTGTTCCCTTATTTATCATCTGTATTTTGTGTAATATATATGTGTTTATATTAATTCTTTGATTTATCACAAGTATTGAGTTACCTATTTATGCACTAATTTGCTTTGATATGATTTGCATTTTTCTAAATATGTTGTTATTTTTCTTTCATTAAAACAAAGGTGATTAATTTATTGCTTAAACCCATCTTAATGGTGAAATCATAATTTCTTTGTATTAAGTTTTTTTTTTTTAAATGCCTTTATTAATTTGTGGTATTATGAGCACTACTAAACCGTCATCTTCATCATTTTCATTTTTCAATGGATTTACAGTATAAGATATTCTTAAATTTAATATACATTTTCAAAGCTTCATAACGGGAAAATCTCTGAATCTCTATCAAAACAATTAATTTAAGTTCATAAAATGCCAAATTACTGCATTTCAAAAAATGATTAGGGTCTTTTGGAGAAATTTTGTTAACTCAGATTTGTGCAATTAAAAGTAGTTTCATATTTTATTTGCAATAAAAGAAAAAGTGAAAAGTGATAGAAGATTTGTTTCATTTGACTTTATATGCATGGTTTTCACTGATTTTTTTCTTTCTCTGTTTGACATTTTTCAGCCCTGGAAAAAGATTGACGTCCAGCGACATTGCAAGGTTTGTATAATTCTAATGGTCTAAAATAATTCTCAACTTTTTTAGTAAAATCGAAAAATCGTCTCTTTATCATCTTGAACCAGTTTTCATATTGAGGGGCGATTTGAAGAGTGTAACCGTTGTTTTCTCTCAATCTTATAGTTTGATCGTACTTGAATGTAGCCATTAACCCTTCTTTGTTTAAGAGGTGGGCAAGTCAATTTAAAATTGGCATTAGTAAGTTAAACGACATGTATGTATTACAGTCAGCCATAATAGCTACTTAAAAAAGACTTTATAATGATGAAATATATAATTTGTACTGCACCTGTCACCTATTCTTGAAAAGCAATGTTTAAGGCAATGTTTATGCAATGTTTAGCAATGTTTATGTACCATTTATTAGCTGAGAGCTAGAGGGATGTAAAACTCTTTTTCATGGAACCGACGCCCTTCTGGCTCTCAGCAAACAGTATGAAGTAATACAGTGAAACCTGTCTATAAAGACCACCCAAGGGAGACAAGAAAAGTAGTCTTTTATATTATAGGCAGGTGGTCTGTATGTACAGGTTCCTGTAGTACATGTTTCAATGGGAAACCATTTTCAAGGGAAACAAAAGATATGAACTCTGTAGACAGGTGGTCCCTAAAGCATGTTAGACTGTAGCAGTAAAACCAAGTGAAGAAATACTGAAACATACATGTAGAGCTAGGAAGAAATAATCAATAACACAAAATCTATATGATCCATGTAGATGCTTTGACATACCGTACTGAAATTAATCAAAAGGAAAGTCCAGACTGATTTTCACTTTTCTTTTCTTTTTTAAAAATTTGTGTTTAACAGTCAGTTGTACAGGTCTTCGTCATCAAACAATCTTCAAAGAGGAGCCGTAGATGAGGTTTATGGGGAGTATGCTGCCTCAGATGGTGATGTGTTAGAGCTTAACGACAAGGTAAGCATTCCTTTAAATAGTTTGGATTTGAAATGTTTAATATTTTTTAAAGCAAGCACACCTTTAATAGCAAGTCATGAAGGTGCAGGTATAGTTCGGCTGTATGATCAAATTTCAGGGCATGATGCTGAAGTTTTTGCATCTGTAATAGGCTTGTAAAAAATATTTAAAAAATTGTTTTTTAAAGTTTTATTTAAACAATGGTTCATTTCCATGTGCTTCTCATCTTAAAACTATTGGTTTGGTCTGTTTTAATGCATCCAAATGTTGTTGAAATTCATTAAATATATACCATGACTACTGTGGGTTTTATAAAAACATAATTCTCGACCGATTGAGCCTCCAGTTCACATTTAGTCTTTGAATCTTATATTTTAGCCTTTCTATTCTATGAATATTAACTTTTAAACTATTTTTCATGACTCATTTCTTGACTTTGAATCAACATTTTTGTTGTTTAGACTTAGTTATAAGTATTCTGTAATTGGAGTGTTGGTTTAAGAAATATACTTCAATTTATATTTTAAAAATTGTTTATCACATCCAAAAGGAATTTGTGTCTGAGGAAGATGTCTGAACTCTAGACATTGAAACTGTTAACAGGTAAATATTCCCTTTGGATGTAATAAAAGAACTTTAAAAATCATTATTACAACCATCTTGATGCAAATCTTTCATAAAATACTTCAATATGTATTTCATTAAATCTTGGCTTTGTTATTAACACATCGTATATTCTTTATTCTGAATTTGATTGTATCGATATCTTATTATTTTGATCTTCTTATTCCTTCCACAAGGTTCGTGATTTAGAATCACAGATCAGCCATCTAGAGGTTGATAAGTATACGATAGAAGACACGAAAGATCAGTTGAGAAATGAGAATCAACAACTTCATAAACAGTAAGAGACTTATCTTTTCATTGTTAGAGCTGAGTAAATCGGCAAGTGCGAATTTTAGAACTCGTGAAAATATAAGCATGGCTCCTTATGCATGTTTTGAACGGGCTGAATTGGGTGCAACGCGAATTTAAGATCCCGCAAAAATTTGGGGGGGGGGGGGTTGCTCAGCGCGAAAAATTAATCGAGCAAAAATAACAGCATTCACAGTATTTGCTGCTCAATTCAGGAATAATATAAGTCACTGTCACATGTTTGAAAAATGTTTTCTCAGTGCAACTTGATATCCATCGTTACTCTGTACTGAAGAAATAAAAGTTTGTGATTGAATGGAGGACTTGCCATTCATCTGTATTAATAAGACAGTGTCCTGGGTTCTAATTTTCTTTATTTACATTTTGGGGTCACTTTTAATCTACATCATCCATCTTTCATATATTCTCTGTCTTCATACCTCCATCCTTTTTGTGTTCATAATTTCAGTACCATCCTCTTCTTTCCTTTGGCCACAATTTAAATACTATTCCTTATTTCTGTTATGAATCTAAACAAAATCTCCTTTCTCATCCTTAGAAATGTTCACCTTGAAGACCAGCTGCGAGAGATGGAGAGAAGACAAACAGAGTATCTCGAGAAAGAAGATAAAAGGTCTCAGGAGAAATTGGTAAGTGTATCAACGATAAACAGTTCCCTCTAATCTTCCGGGCTCCATTTCACTTGTCATTAGTGACAAATGACAGTTTTTGTTATAATAAAGCTAGTGAAATCCCGGTTCTGATTGGTTATCAGCAGATTTGTCACTGATTTTTTTATTATTTGTCATTGAAAAAAGGCTTTGTGAAACGGGTCCCTGATGTAGCCTATTACCCAAGGCTAGTGAAACTTCCCAAGTTGCCCATTAATCATGAATCCAAAATTATAATTTTGGTCGGATTGATAGGTTTTTATCTCACCTACAGAAATATATCGTAATCTTTTTTAATTAAAAGTCTTGATTGCACAGTTTGAATCTAAGATATAAATCACCAAGTTTTAATTGCCAATTTAGAATTTGAATTTTCTTACACCTCTCCTTTTTTTAATTCTATTTTTTCTCCCTCTCTTTTAACTAACTTAGGCAAAGCAACACAAACATCTACATGAGGAGATAGAAGCATTGCAAAACAAGTAAGTGTATGGTTACAAATTAATTTTTTTGGGGGGGGTGCTCATCTGTCTACTCTTAAAGTTTAGAATTTAATTCATTAATAATTGACTTAGAAAATATCTATTCTTTCAAATTTGAATCACTATTACATGATATATGATTTTGTGGCATAGAATTGTTGTGAAGCTTTCTTGACTGTATTACTATTACTATTACTGCTATCCACTTTACCAGTGCATAGAAGTCACCCAAATCACCCGTTTTCCTCTTTTTGTATAATGTTCTGTATCTAAAATGACAAATCAAGGTCTGACAGCCACACCAGGGCATCGTGCCATATCCATTAAACCATTATATCACCTTCAGAAAATTAATAGAATAACAAAATTTATGTGTTTTCCGTCTCTCTCCATTTACAGAGTAACAGTACTATTACAAGAAAATGAAGCTTTCTCAGAAGAAGTGCCTAATCTTAAAAGTCAAATCGAAACGTTACAGCAGGTGAGAATGGTTGCTCATATTTTTTTTAGTACTTTTTTTTATCCATTTATTAATTATTAATAATGCATACATAAGAAACACATAATTCTATTGATTACAAAGAAAAACACATGAATTACACTTATATTACAAAATTAATTATACTTAAAAAACAAAAACATAATCAACATTTTTTTAAAGAGGTGATACTTTTTTGTTGTTGCTCATACTTTTTATTGTTTTTATTTGAGGTAATGAAATATGTTCAAGTTGGGGTTTCTCAAAAGTCATTAATGCTGTGGATATTTGCATATTTCATATGTTGATATAAATCTGTGTCTGAGTATTTGCTTATAATAATAACAATAATAGTAATAAGTATTTCTACTTCACACTTTCTGATATGATACCACTCAAGGTGCTTCAATGTAATACTATAATAATAATACTTCAGTGTTATAATTAAATTCTGTGACTTGAGATTTGCTTGAACTTAAGTATATTGTCTACTTAAGTCAGAAGTATAAGTATCCTTAATGAACTGGGCACTATTTCCGTGTAGAGTACCCTACTGTGGAATCTATACTCACTCAGGCTGAGAGTGAACCAACATAAACCACCTTGTTTAGAGTTAAGAAACATATATTGACTTCATGGGCAATAACTCCACAATACATCTACCGAATTGAATGAATTAAATCAAAAATAGAATTTACTATCAGTACTCCATACAACCTTTTAGTTTGATTGGATCTGTGATTTCTTGGAAATTGAATTAATTTTTGTCTTCTTTTTTCTCGACAGGACCGGGATAAATTAGAAAAGGATCTGCAGGATGTGGATAACAACTGGTTAGCGCTGTCAACTGACTACCAGAGGAAAGAGGAGGAACATGGATTAGAGAAAGAGGAGCTGGAAGAGGAAATTCATTCCAATGCAACAGTGAGTCATTTCCTTCAGGAATATTAATAATAATAATAATAATTCATTCTTATATAGCGCTTTCCAGGACCACAAGTCCTCTCAAAGCGCTTTACAGATATACATTATTACCTCGGTCATCGGATTCAGGCTTACCCGCACACCATTTATGAACATTCTCCATTCCCTGGTGAGCATTCCAGCCATGCTTCATTTTTACAAGCGCACACTTGCTCATCTAACCACATTAACTTTCGCATCCTACCAGGTACCCATTTAACACCTGGGTGGAGAGTGGCAAATGTAGATCATGTAGATCAATGTCTTGCCAAAGGACATTAGTGCCGCGGCGGGACTTACCGCAGACCTTGTGATCCACAGTCCGGTGACATATCCACTCAACCACGACATCTCTGCAAGAATAACATCTACATCTAAAAACATCTCAAGGCCTGTTCAGATATGGCGCGGTAAACCAACAAGAAAAAAAAAATGCAGCTGTACGCAACAAAGGACTTGTGCATAATTGACTGAGCTCTGTGCTGTAAGATGCAGAAATGCATATTACACTTAATGTCATTAAAAAAAAACGCTGCAGTTTTGTAACTTAATATCCGATATTCTAGTGCAAGTCATAGATATTTAGCCTTTTAGTGTTCCTCCTGTACCAAGTTTTAGGGAATCGCAAACATAATTTTTGCATGAAAAGGTTCATTTCACCTGGAGTTTTGTCAGATTTTTTAATGATGCGCATCACATTTCTGTATCTTATATTTTGGGGGGTGGGCGGTTTATCACGTCAAAGCTGAATGAGCATATAACTTTACCCTTTGCACTTTATTGATGAAACATTGACCTAATTCGTGTCTCTTTATTTATGTTTTAGATAATGGATGAGATGGCCAAGGAGCTAGAACAGTTGAAGAGTGAGGGTCAGTCTGAGATAGCCAGGCATGCTACTCTGATGCGCAGCCCCAGTATACAAGACCTTCCCAGCAGGTTTAGCGAGCTCCAGATGGAGGTCCATCAACTGAGAAAGGTAAGGTTTTGGAGATGAAGATTGCACTGGGAGGCACGATGGCTCAGTGGTAGAGCAGTGGTCTTATTAATGGGAGGTCCCGGGTTCGACGCCAAGTCAATTCGCTAGTGCCATTTGGTAAGGCATTAATCCTTATTACCTAGTCGCTCAGAGAGGACTTTAAAAATGCTCTCTTACCAGTCAGGTAAAGCAAACCATCAACCAACAAACCAATTAATTCAAGGACAGAGGATATTGGTGGCCATCATACTCATAGACAGGTGTTTCACATATGCATTGCTAAATGCATCTTCTACAAGAGAATGAAATGGATGATGTTTGTATACCAGTTTAACAATGAATATTTTCTATTTGGAGAAAAGAGATGGGCCATTATAGACAAGTTGTATTTCTGCAGGTTTTATGATGCAGGTTTTGTTTTTGTTTGTCTTGAGAAGAAATCAAAGTGTCTATTATAGAGACGTTTTCATTCTATAGATTCTATAGATCCTTGAGGGGAAACCATACCAATCGTACTATTATAATGTGTAACTGATATCAAGCTGAATAAACATAATGAATTGATATTTCTTTTATGGTTAGTAAGACAATTTGACAATGTGATATCATAAAGAGTTACATCTAACTATAATCTTCAGTGCAAATGACATGTTGACCACTTAATTTTCTCATTCTCATAGACTTAAAAGAGGGACCACCCAGTTCCTGTAGACAGTAATTTAATTAAAGAAAGTGAGTGAGCCCATTTAATTGCGTACAGATCACCCACAAAGTGATTATTTATTTTCTGTGAATTTCAGGAGAACAAGCAGTTAAAGGATTCCAACGATGAGATGAGTGCACAGATCTTAAACAACGGTATCCAGATTGGAAGGAGTTTGCTTCATAGAGGCACCTCCAAATCAGAATCATTCGCTGCTGAACTAGAGAAGTCTTCAAAGGATGAGGTTTGTAGAAGTAGAGGTGTCTTGGTCTAGGGACTTTATCACAAGATTTCTGACAAATAAAGTCATTTTTGTATCCCCACGAATTTAGTGAATGGCCAGTTTTGATCTCATATCTGGTTTGATTTGGTTTGATTTAATTTGTTTGTTAGTTTCTGCATCTTTCTTTTTTTCATCAAATATTTCATGAACATAATATGGTTTGATATAATATTTCATAATGTATATATACAGAAAATATATGAAATTAAACAAATATATTGAATGCATAATTAACATTGGATTGATACACTATTTCTGTCTGTCTCTCTCTCTCTCTCTCTCTCTTCCTCTCTTCCCCTCCCTTTCTATCTATATTTCTTTCTCTATCGCTCTTTGATCTGTTGCATAATTTTGCCAATCTTTACCGCCCCAAGTATGAGACATTATTGTTATAACCACCTTTCCACTTTCACTTTTCAGATCATGAGTGCTCTGAAAGACGAAGAGCAGATGAATCGTGACCTTAGGGGTTACATCGGCCAGATCCTGACCAAGATCATTGAGAACCATCCCAACCTGTTAGAAATCAAGCCACGCACTCAGAGTGTCAGCTCCGTCTGTAGCTTCAACTCCTACTCGTGACACCAACCTTGAACTCTGAACTTTGAACTATGAACTATGAAGTGGGAACTATGGAGTTGTGATGTTTCAGGACTCGATCATCATTCTATGAAGGTGTATTTTTCCACGTTTTCTCATGGTGTTTGACTGTTTTTGCATCGGAGATAAACTGTGACCAGGTTTCCTTCTCGTGGACCATAAGGGGTGCTTTCTCAACGCAATTGTGAACTTGAACTGATGATTGATGTACTACATGTATGTGTCAAAGGTCCCTATATCATGACCTTGTGAAGGTGCCTCTATCCATGTCTCTTAACAGGAGCTGCGCATACATGTACCCCATGTTGTACTAAACTCTTAATTATGGAATTGCAATGATTCAATCCCCTGCTCGGACCTCCAGAGGGCACCCTTTCATCACATCTTCAAGTCAGGAGCACATTGCCGTTGATGCATGCACTTCCATGAAAGAGCTTAGAGCCATGTTTCATGCTATCTATGTTGCTGTGTGTGACGTTATGAGCAAAGAAAAATACATTGTACTATATACAATAATGCCTTGTCTTACAGTTGTGGTACTACCCTACTCTTTGGACGAAGACGTCATTGTAGTCATTGCCGCTGCACCAAATATGTGAGCATCTTTTAAAAAAACTTGTGTTTGCTCTTCCTCTTCCTCGACAATTGCTGATGTGCAGCATTTCAAAATGTACATGTAAGCCTTTGGAGCTGAAGTCCAGATCATATTTCATATTGGCACTTTTATAAGGCTTTAAACAGAGTCTCAAACCTCATGTGGGTCCTAGCCCCTGCTCCTTACGTATAGGCAATGTGCAATGCCAGAGTATATTGTTAATATGATCAATGCGATGTGATAATGATATAGTTGTAATGAAGACGAAGAGTGGTCACAACAAAGTCCTAATCTGAGTTTGAACATTGCACAATAATCATCATTATATTGATTAGTGTAACCCTCTTGTAAAAGCTGTAAGATCTCTTCGCTATGCGAGAGAAAAGAAATTGGTGTTTGGTTTACAATGCCATACCGTCTATCGATAGAAATGGTTTTTAACTTTCAAACTTGCTGCTCTGCCATCACTCTTTCCTTTTAAACCAAACATGGAAACATGTTTTCTGCCTTTTAATATTTCTTTCTGGAAAAAGCACTATGTACATCATTCATTTTTCATTCAGATTTTTAAAGAGGGTGCTTTTTCACTGTAACATGTTTTAAGTTTTAAAAAAGGAATTAGAATGAGATGAGTCACTGGCAGAGTTGACTCGTATTAGGTGATGTGGTGTAGTGGTTCATTCACTTGACTCTTGATCCGAGGGTTCAGGGTTCAAGTCCCAGCCTGGCACTAGCGTTCTTTAGCAAGACATTATTCACATTTGCCACTTTCCACCCAGGTGTAATTAGGGTACCCAGTAAGATGCAAAAGTTATTTGAAGTTTCTTCAGCGTTTTGAGCGTCCGTTAAACAGTGCCTGGCCGGAACCCTAAGGAGTGGAGAATGTTGATATATTGTGGTCTAGCAAGCCTGAATCCTAAGATCAGGGTAATAATATATCTGTAATAGAGATATCAGGGGTATTAAGTGCTTTACAAACCAATGATATTGTTATTACGTCAAACTCATTGAAGTAGGAACTTCGGTAGAGAGTTATATGCAGCGGAACCAACAGAGGTGTTGAACCTTGTGTACTTTTTGCATGTTTGAGACTGCCTCTCTCGATGAGTAGGGAGTCAAAGATGTGAACAGGAAGTTAGTTGGAGCAGTACTTAATACACGCTTTGATATTGCAAATAAACGCTTTGCAAAAATGTCTTTTTTTGTCTACAATAAACCTTTGCACAATTCCATTGCTATTGACCCCAAAGAGACTGATTTCTACTAGACATTTGTTTTAAAGGCCAAAGCCTAAGATTTTGGTACCCTTGGATCTTGTAGCCTGATGCTGTAAAGATGTTACAATTAGGGAGGAATTTTTTATCCATTCTGTAAATGGATGTTGCATAGAGAAAACTGCAATTCTTATTTTAGTGATCACTTTTTTTAAATAGGAAAAAAAGTGGTCTTAAGTTTGAAATAGATAAATGTTAAATTTAGAAATCTACATTTTTAGAGCGTGTAAGATTTTTATGTAAAACAAAAAACAAAAAATGAAAATTATGATTTTGAAATGATGATGATTATGAAATCAGTTGAGTGAATTGAAATCTTAATTGCCTTGTCAGTATGGTGTCGTGTATTCAATTTGTACAGTATGTAAATAAGATAGAGAGTTTTTTATATTGATTTTTAAAGAGACAATCGGGTTGTGGTTGTTTCATATGCTGCCTTGTACACAGCCTGTGAATATATATGTGAATATTTCACTATCTTCTGCACGTTCAGGTACATAGATATAGGGCTCGTTCAGATTTGACGTGGTAAACCATTACAAAACGCCACATTTTTTATATGTGAATGAATGACAACTGCGCACAACAAAGGTCCTAGATGCGTATTCGCTTAGCTCTCTGTTTTATGATACAGAAATGTGATGTGTATTACATTTTACATCATCATTTTAAAAAATGCTTTTGTTTACCGTTGCATATCTGAACAAACCTTAAGAGAGTTTAAAGGGGGAGTATTAGTCATTTTTATATATCATACTGTTGCGTCCATCCTAATGTTATGAATGTAATCATTTTAATTGGAGTCCAATCTCCATTATGACAAAGGGTAGCTCTAAGGCCCAGCGCACACTGCATGATCAGACTGTTTTCCGTTTGGATTTGTAGTGTGCTTTATCCTGCAACTGCGATCTGGCCCGAGTGGCACGACAATCGTAGACCAACTTGGAGATATTTAACATGTTGAATTTTCTACGTCTGTGTCATGCCATTTTCATCTCTTGGCCAGTCAGGATCATGCAAAATGATGAAGTCCTCGCTGATTTTTTAAATGAGATGATCAACAAAACCAGAAAAAAACTCATTTACAGGAAAAAAAAAAACAAATCTTGTCAATTTGATGTTTGAGATGCCTTAATCACCCATAACTGGCTAGAGAAGATTTTAGTGGAGTCATATAGTGTGCGATATCCTGTGACTACGATCCGCTTAGGCTTACAATCAGAGGGTAATTGGATCGTGTAGTGTGCGCCAGGCTCTGTATTATTGCAAATCATGGATATGTTTAAGTAGTGTGGAGGTTGAATTTATGAAGTGAATCCTCAATATATGTTTTCACAAGCCAATGATGCTTGCTTATTTAAGCTTCACCCAGATTGTCGCTGGTTCTGGCACGTTTCTATTTTTCCATGCATCCGTCAAACTTTGACTTGATTACAATTTATGATGGTAAAATGAAAGTACTTTATGTGTGAATGTGGCAAGTACTGTTTTAAAAGATAAATGTACAAGTTAAAATTGGCATTTTTCTTCTTCTCTTGTATCTTTTTGTGGCAAACCCTCTAGACTCACATTTTACCAGTACAATCTTAAGATCTTCAATCTAGTAGCCTCTTCACATCCCGGTACCATGTATAGATATTTGTGTAAGAAGATATAATCCCAAGAGCTATTTTTGCTAGAGAAATATTTATTATATGTTAGTAGATACTTAGCTTATGTGTGTAAAAGTGAGTGTGCAATCATTTATCTTGTAGGTCCAATTTTCATCATTGTATTTTAATATAGGCATGTTTTATTGTAAGCTTCTATGACCTTAGATATAAGATATAAATGAGTATAAATGATGAGGGGATATATTTTGTTGTTCCCTGCTTTCGATTTATTAGGGATAAGTCAATACAAAATGACGGCTCTATAGTCTATGTTGGACAGAGTTTCATTGTTATGTCCATTGCATGCTTACGGCAAGCATATGTGATCTTTTATGCTCTTCACATATTTTTTTCCTTTCAAAACATATATTTGAATTCTGAATTAATCAAGATATGATACCTAAATGTCATGAACAAAATTGTGCGCACAAAAACATGTTTGCATTTAGTGGTAATGAAATTTGAGTACTATCAACTATGTCCACATTTTTACCATAAGAATCATAATTTTATTCCCCCCACTTTGGAATAACATATTTAGACTTCATTGTTTTAATAACTTGATAAAGTTATGGATGAGTTACTTTATTTTAAAGAGAAAATTGATATACTCAATATTAAACTAGTGAGTTCTGTTTTGTGCATTCTTCATTGGCTTTGGGTACTGTTTTCCCCCTTGTCTTTAGCTAGCTTAATATAGCTAATTAGAGACTTGCACATTCCTCGTTTTGATTACTTACTATCAAGTCTTCACAGTATACTAGAAGTCCATGCAAGGTACTCTATTGCTAGATTATGTTATATGTTAAATCGTGTGTCTTTTTAATCGAAGCAGTGTTGTTGATGAATCTTGCCAGAGTCTTAGATCCAACTTTTATTCAATTTTAAAATTTGTATTTGTATTTGTTTTTTTAGGTGTCTGAAGAATGTGAGACAAGATCAATGAACATTCAGATAGACTTTGCAAAGGGAGCATATCCACATATTTTTCTTCTTCTAAACTTAATAATTAAATATTCTTCTGATAATTGTGCTTCTATTACAATTGTCCCTGGAGATGGAAAAGGCTTATTGCATTTTTGTGTATTCTCCAAAATAAGTACTTGGTATGCAATTTAATATTACAATTTTAATTGACAAATTATCATGTTGTACTTTTTAAATTGTAAATCAGGTAGGGGGTGGTAGAGGATATATACTTAAGGCAGACTAGTATATTATTGGGATTTATACTGAGCACTTTTCACTGCTGTATAAATCTGGGAGATTGTACAATGTCTCTGTATAGCTTTACATAGCTTACTCTTTTAAAAAGATTTTATTGTGAAAACCATAAAGACACTTATACCCTGTTGTTCTCAGATGGTATTTTGTTCACTCATTTCCCAACACAGTATAATTGGATTTGGGAACACGTACGGTATTTGATTAATACAAGAAATATGTCTCCAGGTAGTGAATATACAAGTCTAATTCTTTCCATTTGTATATAAAAAGAATAAAAGAATATGAGGTTTAATTGAATAAGGAAATACATCCATTTGTGTAAGAGGTAAAAGCATTGAAGTATTAAATTCTATGTGGATTTTTATGAAATTTGCTTTCTTTCTTTTTGAAAAAAGATTGGTATATACCTTTCTTTAAAAAGTGCCACCAAATTTGTGTCTTTGAAGTTATGTTGAAAAATTGTTACTCTGACAATAGCGTTTATTTTTATTTTTTAATGCATTTATTTTCAATCTACAAACTGCCCTGTCTATTGCAATTGCAAATTTGCTATGTACTACTTAAATGCGTTTTAGAATCTGCTTTTAGCACCTAATTGCTTCTTGTGAATACTTGTTTTGTTTATCTTGCCAGAATTGAGTGCAGTGGCTTTTAGATGTTTGCAATCGGTGCCTTGTATACAGACGTGTCAGAGAAAGTACTTTCTTTATGGCCGTAATATTTAATTTCCTTGTACATAATGGAGGATTTCTTTTTTTTAAAGAGTACTAAGTGGATGAAATTATTTTATGTAGGGTAGTGCCTTTCCCCTCAAGTTGTGAATACTTGAAAGACAATGTGAGATAAACGGTAAAGATACTTTGTAAATTATTTCAAGTGAAAGAGATCATTGAATACATGGTTTCCACACAGGTTAAAACAATGTTGTCGCATTTTGTCTTATTTCATCTTATTTCATGATGCCTTTATTGTTCATGGTTTGTGAGTGTGATGATGATGATGATTACGATGGTTGTGATGGTGGTGGTGGGGGTGGTGATGGTGATGGTTATGGTGATGATGATAGTAATGATGATGATGATGAATATGATGATGTTGATGGTGATGATGATGGTGATGCTGCTGATGATGATGATGGTGATGCTGATGGTGGTGGTGCTGATGGTGGTGGTGCTGATGATGGGGGTGGTGCTGATGATGGTGGTGCTGATGATAGTAATGATGATGATGATGAATATGATGATATTGATGGTGATGATGATGATGGTGATAATGATGGTGGTGGTGCTGATGATGGTGGTGATGATAGTGATGCTGATAATGTTGATAATGGTGATGATTAAGATGATTATGATGGTGATTATGACATTTACAATAATGATGATTATTATTATTATTATATAAATGATGATTGATCATGATGATGGTGATGATGATGATGACGATGATAACGAAAGATTACATTTGAAAATAAGATGTTGATCTTGGTGAAGATAATGTGACATGACAATGACTCGTTCATTTGCATTCACCTTGACGATCTGAATTAATTTTGTAAAATCAAATATTGGATAGAAAACTAAACAAAATCATAAATTTGATTTTGATCTAAAAAAAAGGATCATTACTCACCTGAAAAAAATAGGACCGATTTTCATATTTTTCTTGTTGAAATACCATACAAGCTGATTCTAAAGTTAAAAAGTAGTTCAAAAATGTAAGGGACTCGTATTTGACAAAGAGAAATTAATTTCCTGATCTCAAGTTATCAATCAATCTATTCCTAGATTAATAGCGCCATCTCTCGTTGACAGTGTCAATTTTTAACTTAGGGACATAAATTAAGTAAGATCTCTTAGAAATTGTATGTCAATAATGCGACTGAAATGTCTATAATATATGGATATTTTGTTTTTAATTGCCAGAAACTAGTTTACTATGATACATGTAAAGTTTGAGTTGCTAAATTGTATCATTTTTAGGCCTCTTCATACGATTTCTGTTATTCCCCGCAATCTTTTGTCCCCTTTTGTCTTCTCATTCTATACCTTTTCCTTTTCTTCTTATTTGATTGTGAATACTGCGGATTTTAATGGAGCTTATTTCTAATGGCGATCTTTGCAAATGCTGAACTTTACAAGTTCCAACTCTTTCCCTCCTGTTTTGCATCCTTCACAGTAATATTTTAGGAGTTGAGGAAAGAGTTTTTGCACATATCCTATTTGACAAATAGGTCTTTTAGTAGAATTATCAGTTCAAGGTTTCGGCGTCCGACAAAAACATTCTATACACTTTTTTAATTTTTTTTAATTTCTTTATCACCAGCCCAATCGGTGCAACCCCCACCAAGAAGATAATTGCAGAGAACATTAATCGCAACCACTTAGGGTTTTCGTGTTGGTGGACTGGGTTTCATTGTTTCTTATGTCCATTGTTGTACCCAGACGGAGCAGACGAACTCATAGACAAAGAGCTCTAAAAGCCCCCTGCATCTTGTGCACGCGTCATTTCGGCCTTGCTACTTATTAATGTAATGTAATCGCGTGCCACAAATTATTATATGCGTTCTTACATTGTGACTGTCAGGCCAATATTATTTCTTACACCGTATATGGAAATGACGCGGTCGAGATGATTTTCATGACGAGAAAAAAATGGAATCACGAAAAGCTCAACGTGAGAACGTTGCTCGATCGAGGCCGACTCTCCGACTCTCTCTCTTTCTGTGATTAATTTGTTCATTATCTTGGTTTTTGAAGAGCATTGTCGTTCCAATGCAGACAAGATTCAAGTTCGATTGTTGTCCTTGACCGCTTTTCAGGTTCTATTGAATGTTTTCTTATGCAGCCGTAGTCAAATACTGTTTGGCGTTGCGAGGGGAGGGGGCAGACTTAATTTCAAGGTAGAAGAAATGTGAGAGAAAAGGGCCATCGAATATGTGAAAACTGAAAAGGGATCGTAATTATCATCTTCTTTTACGTTACTCCCTCCCATTTCACGTTTCTCTCCCTCACTCCTCTTTCTCTTCCCTTTTTGCCAAACGATTTGTGATGGGCACGTGTCTACCGGTGGCTCTTATAGGAAACAAAATATTGTATGTAACGGAGATCTGATGATAGCTGCTATAAAAGAGGCATCTTGGTATTGTATCAAATGGATATTTAATGCAAGTCGTCATCATTCAGTGAAGTTTTCTGTTGCGGCCATCTATCATTTCCATGCAATGATGGTCGTAAAAAGGATGTCTCTTATTTTAGCTAACGTTCGAGTAATATCCTTTGTACTCACGTCTGTAGATTAGATATCTTTCCACATAATTATAGAGAACAGTTTTACGTGTGACATTGTACAGTATATAATTCCAGTTTTTCAAGAAGTGGCCCACTTTTATATATTATGACTCGATAGAGAGAGAGAGAGAGAGAGAGAGAGAGAGAGAGAGAGAGAGAGTGAGAGAGAGAGACGGAGAGAGAGAGAGAGAGAGACGGAGAGGTGAGAGAGAAAGAGACGGAGAGGTGAGAGAAAGAGAGAGAGAGAGAGAGAGAGAGAAGAGCGGGGGGGGGGGGGCAGAGTGAGTGAGAGAGATGAAACGATGATTGATCAAGTCACCCTTTCATTCGATATTCGGCATACTTGAATTTTAATCAACTTATAATATTTATAGCATTATCCTCATTTTGTTTGAGGTTGATCATCGATGAATTAAATTTTACAGGGACAGATCATGGCGTTGTGCCAGAGTCCCCGCTGGATAACTAACTGAGTGAAATAATTAACGTTGGGTGGATTTACGGTAATAGAATAAAAGGAAACACATACAAAAAAAACATAAACATGCAGGGGGCGGAACAGTAAACCATAATTTTAGTCAAATCATTTAACCTAAGAAAGTATACAACTCGATTTATTTTAGTGCCCCTAAGATTTTGATCCCCAAATCCCCCGAAAGATTTGATTACCTCTACAGCTGGACCATTTATTCGACCCCCTCTTATTTATGGATATCAGAAATATTCTCGGACTATGCCCCTCTTATCCTTGATATGTTCCTTGTACAATGCGTGGGGGAGGGGGTACATGTATAACAGTATATCTTTAATCGTCTTTGAATGATGTTGGACATTTTTATAAAATTGGAATGAATTTTGCTTACCTCTTCATGAATGATTATCAATATGATTTATTCTTGATAGATATCAAAGTTGGTACCTTCTTCTGAGAACTTTATTCATTGTTCAATCTTTGTAGATCAATAAAGTTTTGAGAATCAAGAATGAATCATATTGTCACTATCACTTTGTGAAAAGAGGTTAGATATTTTTTATTCAATTATATCTTTTGCAGCTTCTAAACATGATAACTGAATACGTCTCGCATCTTTCACCATATCAACACGACGCACTAACGGACGCACGTATGAAATTTGCTTTGACGCACACGCGCGCGTTAAAATATCCGGTCCGCTTACAAATCTGCGATCCAAATCTAGCAGCAAACGGTAAGTCATCTCAGAATTTCTTCGAAAATAAAACAGAAAAACTGAAAATAACAGTCATATTCATTAATGATTGATTGATTTCCTTTATATGAAGCAAATAAATTTCACTGAAGCCTTGTAAAGTTTGCTCAATTTTAAAGTTTTGTCCGGTTATTTTTCTTCGCAGGATTCTTGAGTAGCAGACTGCGTTTGGCTCTACCAAGCTGTATACGAGCTCCTCCACGCGTTTCCGGTATATTGTGGGTGTAACTGAATTACTGAATCATCAACCCCATTCGTTTTTGTGCATGTGTACCGTCCGCAAACAACTGGAATATTGTGCTGAGCTTTACTGAGGGAGTCGTGGAATATACAGACAAATTGTGATTGAAGGAATTATAAATCTAGGAATACCACAATGGCCAGTCGAATGAGGAAATTATTTCATCGGCAGAATGCTGGTGCTATTGAAGAACGGCGTAAAATGCGAAAGGAACTCTTTGCATTCAACAAGGTTTGTAGACTATGATCAGATGATCACCATTTTTAATCAACAGTTTTTTTGCTTTGTCAACATGAACAATGACGTTATTAACACTTCAGTTTGTATACGATAATGTTTAAGTTTGATTGAAAATTGAATTTGATTTGATTATGTCCTTCCATTCATCATCATCATACTCATACTCGTATATAAAGAACGGCACTTTACGAACAATATGACAGCTTACATTATAGAATAATAATAATAGATAATGTAACTTATATCGCGCCAAATCCACTCTGTGGAGTGCTCAAGGCGCGTGTAAACAGGAAAAAAGATCAAGACTTGAAAAGAAATGTTTTGAGATGAGTTTTGAAAGAATCAGAGGATAAACATTTTTTGATGTCTTCAGGAAGGCCATTCCATAATTTAGGACTAGAGTATGCAAAAGATCTTTCCCCCCACGTTTTGGTAATTTTGGGGGTTACAAGAAAATTGGAAGTGGATGAGCGTAGAGGTCTTGCAGGAGTGTAGTTTTGGATTAGAGAGATAAGGTATTGAGGAGCAGAGCCGTGAACGCAATGAAAGGTGAGCAACAAAATTTTGAAAACAATGCGATCTTTTACTGGGAGCCAGTGTAGCGACTGCAAAACTGGGGAAATGTGGGTACGCTTGGTGGTCAGAGAAACAATACGAGCTGCAGCGTTTTGAAGCTTCTGAAGCTTGGACACTAGATTCTGGGGTAGATTGATTAGGAGGGCATTGGCAAAATCAAGACGGGAGGAAATCAGAGCATGAACTAATTTTTCGGTGGCAGACTTACATCTATGTAGTCTATGTAGTCTATGTAGGATCTAGTTGGAGGTACTTACAGTTACATGTTGTCAAAACTTTAATTATTATCAAAATTCTTACAGCTCGTCTACAGTCTACAGAACAAGATCTTCGCAGTGTCTCGGTAGTCATTATATAAAAAGAAAAAAAGACACAGCCAATGCACCTGATAGTGGCTGGTGTGGCTAGTAGTAGTATCGTAATGCAACTGCAGAAGAGAAACAGTTTTGTAAACGTCATCAGTTTAAGGCAATCTGAAACTAAGATAGATTTAAGATTAGTAATGAAATTGGTAACATATTTGGACTTGGATATATGATTTTTATTGGGGTCCATCTCACAATGGAGAAAAACTGCACGAGTGTTATGTATTAAATGCAATTTCAACAAACCATTTAACTACCTTTAGGTACCGACATCATACATGTTCTCTGTACGTAGCCTACACTACATGAAGACATTCAGTTGAAAAAATTGATAAAAATAAGAAGTAAAAGAAATAAAACAAAAAACAAAACAGGCACAAACAAAAGAAACATGTAAAGTGATAACACAAAGTTCATCTACACAAGGCCTACGTAGCCTGTTCAAAGCAACACACCTTATTGCTAGTCAAAGCACTTCAATACAAAAGAAGGAAGAAGGATATAGAGATGCATGTAAATGCCAAAATAATTACTGGTATTGCTTTCGAAGAGTGAAAAATTATATCATTAAAATAAAGAATAAGAGACAAAAACTATATCTATAAATGAATAGATTAATTAAATTACTGTTAATCTTTAACGATATTTGGCAATGAAAAACAACCAACAAGGGATGTACAGTGTATAGAACATCAGCTGCCATTGAACGTTAATTTTGTTTTATAATTTCTTTTTGCCATGAAAATGTTTGCATGATAGATCTATAACTCGTAAAATAGAATTGAATTGACTTTTTTGTTCACACGTGGCCATGAACTTTGGCAATGCCTTTGTGTACGCAAGCCGTACACCTGTTGCTCCAAGCATTGTGTGCAGCATGCATCAATAAGAAAAACTTCTCTCCATGTGAGGCGGGAACAAAAGATGGGCAACCTCTTTACCAGGGCATTAGCGTTCGCAAGCCACGTTGTCTGTGTGTCTACGTTACAGTTTTTGTATTTGCTGAGTGATGGGTTATTTACATGTACAGTATGAGTCATGATAAGATAGTGCGTTCATGTACTTTTATGCAATAAAATGATCAGTACCCATGGATATGGACGTTTATTGAGCATTTGTAAAGAAAATGCATCATTTTAATGTGATCTTTAGTTCATCTTGGTGATAGGCTACATAGCCCTTTCAGGCCTTAAATTTCAATATTTTTAGGGCAAGGCCATTTTTCTGTAGGGCACATTCCTATATTACAGCACAAATAGGAAGAATTTGAAAGGGCACAACAAATCTCCAAGGCCAATGAGAGGGGCATTGAGGCCAATCAAAGGGGCATCTAAGGCCATGGCCTTGGTGGCCTTGGATTAATTTAAGCCCTGCCCTTTGAAGATTACCAGAATAAGAAGAAGAATATAATTGGTATTTGTTTCGAACATCAGAATTGAGAGGCTGTACATGTACATGTACAAGTAACATGGCATTTTCAAATTTTATGTTTAGTATGAACAAGTGCTCTTTTGAATGGGGCATTTTAATAACTGACTTAATTTATTCAGATTTTCGTTAAAGACCGATCAGGTAGTTGATATCAATAAAAAAGATAAACCCTAGCTATTAGCTTCACTTGCAATTATGCAACTGACTGTACATGTACATGTACATGTAGGTCACATGTATTTCAGGCCTGTATAGTATTATCATTAGTATTCAGGTAAATCGTAGAGGTATCTGAGTCAGTTTGTTTCAACACTTGACAGTTCAATCAAAAATTGTGATTCTGTAATAGTTGAATACTACCTTAATGTAGTGCAGTTTCTCATTGAAAATGAAAGTTACATCTAGGTGAAGTACATCAATATGTGGGTCAGCAGTATGTTAATTTTCTCATAAACTTCATATGTTGTTAATTGAAATTGAGAAAGAAAAATAATTGTAGTTTCATTTCCAGAAGCCTTGCCCTTGATGATGGTTAATGTTTATGTAGGCTCAAAACAATGGAGAGCTTAGTACATGTGACTCTCATATTAGTCTCATTCAGGATGCGCATACTTGGGGTGCGTCTTCCGCTGGTGTGTATTCGTGGCAGCTAGGGAGACAAATACATAGCCACGTGTATTCTTCTCATCTTTCCTTATAGGCCGGCTGTCTTCTTGATTAAAATGGCTTTGCGTGTCAGTCTGTGCCACATGTTTGCCCCTCGCTTGGCGATAATGTGTTTCACAGAGCTGTATTACCCATATGCCTCTGCAAATTCGATGTCCCCTTGATATTGTTCTGCAGAGTACCAAAGCTGTAATTGATTTTGGGAAACCGTTCAGGTTGTACTCCATTTTGACATTGTAATGTAAATTTGGATGCTAGGCAAGTAGTATGATGTACACTTTTCAACTGTAGACTATTTACATTGATCAGGGAAACGCGACAAAATAAGACGGTTGATCATGAGAATCCTTTCTCACAGGCGGGGGAAAAGTGTCCTACATGTACATGCCACTGTTAAAAGTCATGATGTTTCATAAAGAGAAGGGTGGGGCTAGGGATTAATGGGAATTTATTACTGTGGTGGGTGTATCAGCATGACAATCAATGCATTGTGAAGAGTTGATGCCTTAATAATTATAGTACATTCACTCATCTTCCCATTTTCTGATTTTTCTGCAAGCTGAAACTGTGACATGTACATGTAGACATGTAGACTTGTGTTCAAAGCATTTTCTAAATACAGAATAACCAGCTATACTTGGATTTTTACCTCATATGAATAGAAAAAGAAGGGAGCACCTCTCATAAATATTTCCATCAAGGTTAAAATAACCTTGACATCGCAGTAGTCCAAGTTGTACTTTATCATCACCAGGGTAGGCCATTCAAGGATCTGACCTTAATCAATGACTTCCTAGGGCAAATTGACCTGCAAGTCTGTTCTATGAGGGATCTTATATCTGTCATGTTTGGCAGGTACCTGGTCTGATTGACGGCTTAGTTTACAGTTGTGTCTGGGGGATCTGCCAGCTAATACGTTGTATCATGTTCCGTGATGCGTTTAGCTTGAGGTAGTGGCATTTTATAGCTCTGACAGGGGATTTATGATCCCTCCCCGAAGCCAGGGAATAATTTCTTATCAATTATTCAGCAATGTGGTGCGTGCACATCTAGGAGAAGTAGAGAAGAGCGAATTTGGATTGGTTTCTGCGGCCCTCAAGCTTCCCTGCTAGTGTACATGTACACTGTACATGTATGTCCACAATAATCTGATATGATATCAGTTAAATGTGTACATGTACATGTATATGTACATGTACGTGGATGTGAAACTACTACAATAGACCTGTTTACTAACATACATTTTTACATATTATTCAAGTTTATGGATGTTTTTTTCCTGGGGACCTAGTGATGAGGTATTCCATTAACCTCTTATTAATGAATGAACTACATGTACAGTACTTGGAATCCATACTGCATGCATTACTTGTTGATATGTAGGGCAAGCCTTGGGTAAGCTACAACTGTAACTGATTGTCAAAAACAACCTTTCTTTATAAAACAATATGCATACATTTGAATATTAACGTTAGTAAACAATCTTTTTGAACAGCTGCTTCTGCACAGTAGGGTCCAGACCGTCCAGACAAATTTTATGTATGCATTGTATGAATTCATAATGAGTGGTTGTATGAACTATGATAACAAATAAAAAAAAGTTCTGTATGTGATGACATCATAATGACATCATAATAATGAATCAATTTTCTTTGTTCTCTTTCGCAGACTGTTGAGCATGGCTTCCCCAACAAACCAACTGCCCTTGCCTACGATCCGAAGCTGAATATCTTTGCCATTGGAACGTCAAACGGAGTCATCAAAATGTATCCTTTACTGTACAAATCAACAGATATCACCCGTTGATCTTGTGATGATCATAAAAAGTCATCATTCAATATATTCCTTTTTCAGTTAAAGAATGCGAGGTATTGTTTGAGAACTTGGATGGACAGTCATCGTGGTGTCACATTCTAAACAGGGCATCTCTGTCTTTCTCTCTTTTTCATTTACTGTACCATCTCAAATACATACAGTACTCTCTCTCTCTCTCTCTAATATCAACCAGTAACAGCTGTCTGTGAACAATGGCATTGGTATGCTACAATAAGTGAGCAAACATGAGTCATCGCTATTGTTTCTGTTAGTCGTTGTTTTCCAATATTGATCCAGAAATACGCTCTCACTCCTGATGATTAACTAAATGACCTCATTCATTGATCTATAGCTTGATGCTGCAAGCAGCTCGAAGATATTTGGCACTGTAAAGTGTCGGCTCCCATTAGTCAATTTTGTTATGCGGCCCTCATTTGACATAATCATGCATTATTCATGATTTCATGTTGCAGGGTAGATGTAGTCTACGTCATAGACTCTAATGAATTTACAGTGTACAGCATGTGTTCATGATGTCATGTTACGGCTTTAACGTTTTGTCTATATGTACAGTATGTCACAGGCTCTAATGAATGTCTGGTATACAGTAGCTGTATTATTCATGACTTCATGTTGCATCACAGACTCTAATTGATGCACTTTGTTTCAACTAAAAGCTGTAGGAGCTAAAGTAATAAGACAATTTGAAAGGACAAAGCAGATTGAACATGATAAATTGGTATCGATTGAGGGTCCAATCAAATCTTATTATCCATACTCCTGACGACGTAAGTGGACTTATTAAACATCGAGACAATCTCATCCTCCCAGTCCCATTGGATATGCAAATTAGTCAGTCATCGTTTATTCTCACTCATTACTAAGTCACAGACTTGTGAGCAAGTCCATTTATAGCCCACTTGAAATACCCATTAATCATACATGTAGATAGGCTATGGCTACTGGTCTACACACTTCTGGACAAAGAGCTTCTATTATCATGCTCTTCCAATGAACTATGAAGATACAATATGTTGACCTCTCTTGTAGTTGAGCAAGTACTCAATACACTGTACATGTCACAATTCAAGCAGATAATATACACACTCCAGCCTTCATCCAACTGATGTATCTGTCATACACTACAGGTAGCTGCCAAAGTCAAATATAAAGTTAACACATACATGTAGTTGAAATGAAATTAAGGGGCCTAGCAGTTATACAGGTTCCTTTATATTTGGGTTCATGAATGTTCTGAACAGACGCACATGATGTTATATTTAGCAAAGTCTGCAACAGCTGGTCGTCACATGATAGCATAGGCCTGCAGTTTGCCAAGTATTCATATTTTATTTGGACTACAGTATGATATTGTGAAAATATATTGGTTATTATTTGAATCGATTAAGATAGTGAACCCCCTGAATGAATATTATAAAATCGCTGCTCTACAGGCTGTATATTTCTATTACTTGTACCTCTATACACCTACCCACAATGAAAGTTACTAATTACAAATTTTCAGTTTGTTGGAACAATTCATTAAAGATTCAAGTCTCACGTGGTTTTGTCATGCCAACTTCTCTCTCAACATTTCTGCACAAAATTGATCATTTACACATTTTCCCCTGGAGTAATAGCACGTGCAATTACTCGCATCTAAACCATGGCATACGTGTACCTTAATTGAATTTATCGTTGATGACCTCATTATTTACATTTGAAATTCAAACACTTATGTCTGGGACACAAGCCAACCCGCCAAATTTCGCCCCTCTGCAAATATATTGATCCCCCCATCACGAGCAGCGAGTGCAGGGTAAAGTGCATAGATGCTAGCCAATCACTCACTCACATACAGCTCATTGACATGCTACATGTAGGGCTTTTTGTTATCTGTCTGTGTGTATTCCTCTGTCTCGATTCGTGTCAATGGGGGTGCGTTCACATTGGTATGATCATTATTAATCATTATGCAAAGATGTGTTATTGTCCATTGAGATTATGATTAATTCCATACAATAATTATTAAAAAAATACAAATGTGAATGCATTCCTATATCATTGGTATCATTGTTCACTGCATTATATGCAAAGATGTGCATCATCCATTAAAAGTATGACTCAGTTTATGTATATAACTGACCTTTTTAAAGCTTGAATGGTCATGATGAATACTTTCAACATTCCACGAATGAACAATATTACCTTCAACATTCCTTGAATGAACAACAGATACATGTAGATTCCCAGTATCTGCTCTGCAGCTCTGCAGCTCTACACATTTGCACATTGTAGGCCCATTACACAAAACTTGTTATTTAAGCTAGTGATATCCTTGCTTCTGATGAATTGGTTATCAGCAGATTTGTCATTGATTTTTGTCATTTGTCATTGAAACAAGGCTTTATAGTGAAACGTGGCCCAGGTATGACATATCATGTACAATGTAGACCTGTAAATGTATGTATTGCTTTGCATTTCAGATTTAAAATTGAGCATACTCCATTCCTTTTTTTTTAAAGGTCTAAGACTGCAGAAAACTTAGTGGCGGAATATTACATAATGTAGATTCAAACACGCAGTATGTCATATAGACCCAAACTACATGTATGTCTGTATGATCTGTTTGCTATATCAAACTACAAGTACTATCATGTTCATGTACATGTACATGTAAGATGCAGTAAATGTACAATCTCTTAGAAGTACATCTCTTGTATTAGTTGTCAGTAGTACTGTAGCAGTAATCTAATTCAAATTAAGCTTTTACATGTATTTCTTTGCCATTTTTTCTTTATAATAGGAGCACAGTACCAACAGAATTATGTGAACTCTCCTCTTGTGCTTGCACACAAAGTCTATGTAATGGAGACTCTTTTGTTGTGTTCCAATTGTACTGCATACAAACGCAAGGCCGTACGTTGATTGTGCGTGAATGCATGCCCTCCGGTCCTTTCAATTATTTGCACTCGGGCCCTCCAGGTGTGAAGTTCAGCCGTTTCAAATTTTGGCGCGAGATCGACATCCTTGTCCCTATTTAAACATGCTTTATAATGTCTGATGATATATGAAGCAAAACAAAGGGGGATTAGTTTTTTTTTTTGGTTTTGTGTTATATGTTGCAATACAAGGATATTCCCCCAAAATGAATGAAACAATTGTGTACAATATACATTTGAGCACCATACATGTATACATGTAGGCCATGTTCATGTACAGTACATGTACAGACCATACTAGACTTTACATTACAGATTTTACATCATTATGAATGACAAGGTTGTTTTGGTTAATGGTCGATTATGGGTGTTCCCTGGACCTGGTTATAAGTCATGCCATATGTCAATGAATGCATTTTGTGATAATTCATCAATTTACTGATATTTTTCATCAGATAATAAAATATGCTTGTCCTTATACTTTTATATTACTTTGTAGGAGGCCAACATGTACATTATACTTGTACATGTACAGTAATCCTCAATTTTTCCTTTGATTTTCTCATTAATATAATTTGTGCTCTTGTAGGGTTTCTTTGTGTAGGCCTTACTCTAAATTTCACCTGAATCTTTCTCTTTCTTCGGCACTCGGTACAAATTCCTACAAAGTTGGCCTACACAGGTATTTTTCTCCCATTTAAATATGAAGGGCTCACAAAATGAAACAAAATTTCCCATCAGACCACAATTCATATAAAAGTAAACATCTCTTTATAAATACACATGAATACACAAGTTGAAGATAACTGGCTGAAGCACAGTACATGTACATGTACATGTTGAGAGTTGCTTGGAGTTGACCATCTCACCCTTGAGTTACATGTACCCTGGTATCTTCAGCGCTGGGCGGGCGTTGTCCAGGACAGTGCGATGTACTTTGCTTCAAGCTCATCTCACTTCACCAAGCAGAGTCGTGAGACAGCTACACCCTGCTGAGCTCAATTACACGCTGCTCGAAAATTAGACTTGCTTCCCCCCCCCCCCCTCCCCTCATGTGTACGTAGAAGGAATGATGCGTATGAATCGATCTAATGCATGCTGGTGATTTATATCATGTTATGTATGCAAGCGTTAAGGGACCATGCTCAAATGTAAGAGTAAGCTGCACGATAGAAAAATAAGCCAGTCGATACGACATATCCTTGACATGTTTTGGTGTGGTTCCTTTGAAAATGCCGAGCCTAAAGTAATTGGATCATATGTTCAGCTTGATAATATACAGTAGATAAACATCCTACATGTAATGTGTGCATGGTTCTCTCATAATGTACATTACATGTATTTATGGAGGAATTGTTCAAATTAGTTTGATGAATATTGAGATTTAATTCAAACTAGATGAATGATATTAGGTTTGCCCCTCATTGAACAATTTCTTTTGGGTGAGTGGTGGTGATCAAAATATTAATTACTGGTAATTAGGGATATACATATTCTATTTCTAATTTGTTTCATCCAGAATTATCCCAGTTTTAGTATTCAATCATTTTCACTGGATTGAGGATAGTGATCGCAATGATGACGATGATGATAATAATGATGACGACGAAAATGATGATGGAGATGATGATGATAATGATGGTGATGATGATGATGATGATGAGATGTTTGGGCCTGTACTACTTACATGTACATGTACTACATGTATCTGAACAGTAGCAAACATCATGACAAATGACAGAAATACTGCGTGACACTTGGTAGCTCTGCAAGATGTCTACACATGTACTTGTAGGCTGTACATGTATCTGGAGGAATCGCTTCTACAGTGTGCATGTACATGTACATGTAGTTCTACAGTGTTCCTATCTCCTGCTCAAGGTTGTCTTCTCAAGGTCAGAGGGGTCAAGGGAATCGTTCTGCACTTTCACCTGAACTTAAAGCATTAGCCCTATCGAGTGGTCTAGCGTAGGCAATACAAATGCCTCATTCCTCTCTTGACAAATTAG